GGAAGAAATAAAGGAGATTAACAATATGGCCGCTTAACCGTGTAAACTACCAAAAAAACCGAAAGGCAAATGGGACAATGAGTCTTGCTGTCAGAGCGGCCTCTCAGAGAACCGAATGTTAGGGGGCGAATAACTGCGCCACAAAGAGGATTTAATATGTAATATCGAGACATAGAGAGTCACATACACATACAAAATCTTCGAGACGTTCAAAGAAGCCAGATGCCCAACCTAATATCCTCTTCTACTTATTAAAATCCTTCTTACAACATAGGACTTTCACCGGTTATGGTCTGAGCACTTCATCTGATTTGTTCGAAATTCTGCCAATCAAGCCTCGCCTCATCATTATGGCCATACAGTGGGGCGATCAATTAACACGAGGGCAATCCCTTACCCAAGGGGATCGGGGTCTCCCCTCTCTTAGAAATCGTCATGACGCCAATCTTTCCATCTTTTCTCGATTCAGTCTCTCCTGCATACTCCGTACATATCCCCAACTTTCATCTAATTAGTGCGGGCCTTTTAGCCCTTTTAGGGTTCGCTTGCCTCACTACTTTCGTTTTATTTCTTTATTTCTTTATTTCTATATTTCTTTATTTCATTTTATTTCATTATTTTTTCGCCTTCACGTATTCAACTTGAACCTGGGACGTTGATTGGGTGATTTGGTATTGTATTCTATAAAACCAGTGCCTGACTCGTCCCATGGTACTCCGTAATGTCCCCCCAGTCTTCCCGAAAGGTTCCGTGGGGCCTTAAAATCTGCCCTCTGAAGAATGTGCATGTTACTATATATAGTCAGATCATTCAATATTTCATTCTTTCATTGAACGCAGCTCTCTAATATTATTACCTGAGATCTCTACAACATAGATATACCGAACACGAAGTACCTTGGACTGTTCAGGCATTGATTCGCACCCCATCTCCCAAGCTAAATCCGCTGGCACTTGTCCCACACCGGCCCCATTATACGTGTCTTTGCTAGATACCCCCACCCGAGACTACCTATCTTCCAACCATTATTCTGTACTTCATAGACTATGAGACAATTGCAGGCACTGATAAAGCTACATTGGTATCCCGTACTCCTTCTGTTTCGGACCATCCGGGCCCATCCACTAATTCCAAGTCATCTGGGCCCGGTACTGCGGTCCGCGCGGTGCAGAAATTATCCAGACTGGTGCTCAACAGCGCTGCCTGTGCCAGCCCCGATCATGGTAAGTTTATTGGAAAATGTGCAAATGCTGAGCGGAGCGACTCCGGTCAGCATTACCATATTATTATCTCACTCCGCACGGAGTATTACCATTGCTATTGCCTAAATAGCTTTCTTTGGTTTTTTGCTTAGAATGCCATGTATCTTTCTATTTAGTGTCAAGGTGTCTCAAGGCGAGCGAACGGCCTACGATCCATTCAAATTTCCGCCTCAAATATCGTATGATAGCCCTCACTAGTTTCTTTGACTCTTGTCATTTGACATTTTTCTATGTGATAGTGATTGTAGTATACATATTCTTGGTCTAGGAGTGGTCAATTTATCCCCAGGCAAGAATAGCACTAGACTACATTCGTTCTTTCCAACCCGACTGCACCGGTCGAATCCATAATCCTCCGATCCCATCAGCAGTGCTCGAGAGGTCACACAATGTCTACCTCTGAAACACAGGGTTGTAACCTTATGCGCTTAAAACCGTGATCTACTCCGTACAGATACCCCTCTTCCCTGACAGTCACGCAACCCCGCTAAGACTGAGATCGGTGAATTCAGGATTGGACGTTGGCAGTCAGGAGAAAGGTGTATTTGTAGGACAGGTAGAATCGTAGTAATACCAAAAAAAGTCGAATCCACTTAGGTAGTCAGGTAAGCAAGGTACAACTGGCGATACATGTAGACTACTGAACTGCATTTCATATGCCGTGGCTGGCTCGAAGTTGTATGTTTGCTACCCGGGAAACAGGAATGTAGATGCAATGCAGGCTGCAATAATGATGTCTACTGATGTCTACTATTACCCCCCTCATGCAATAATATTTCGTATTATTACATCGTACTTATGTTGTGCGAAGTACGGAGTAATATGCCTAGGCCTCCCGCTCAGCCACTCAACTTTTTCTGGAAAGGAATGTGTTAGACTAAGCAACCCTTGCGAGAAAAGCATGTGTTTCCCACGAAGGTGGTGTGTAAGAGCGTATTCCACAAATCCCTGAAGAAACCGAACCCCCAAATTCTCAACCTAGCATACCTGATTGGCCGCACATAGTCACATCGGATATCGAGGAGAGGGTGGGAGGAGCCATGCATTGACTCAAGTTGTGATCTCTGCCCAGACTTTGTCCACTAAGAGGTCGCTTGGAAGCGCCGAGTCTAGAATTTTTGAGTTTGGGGGAGATCCCCGTTGCAGATGACTTAGGAACTTATCGAGTTGTGATATCACAGCCACAGGCGCCTGTGATTGCGATCGGTCAGATGGATGTGTACATTACATGCGGGGTATACATGAGAGAGGGGTAGTTTGGTGTTTGTGTAGTTTGGAAGAGCGAATCGTGAAGATTTTCCTTTCTCCTTTCTATTGATCTGGTGAATATTAAAATCTATTAAATCCCTACAGCACGGAGTATGGAGCTTATGCTGTTGCATTGTCTGACAGGCTCACCCAGAGGCCAATCCGCATAGTTTAAGAAATGACGTAAGCGTAGACAGTCCGACAGCACTAGGATCGTGCATCAAGTCACTAGCCGACCAATGTTAAAATCATGAAGTATCAAGGCATCCAACCAACAGCACCAACAGGGCCAAAGCCTAGGTCACTGCATGTCCCAGGGAAATGGTAAAATCTGGCGTTAAGCCACCATGCACGGTCAAAGCAAAGGGACGATTGCCGTTACGATCGATGGGGCTACCAGAATAGAATGCAATTTCCCAAAGTTGCTTAATTCAATACACATTCATCCGTTCGCGACCGCGTGGTCGTTCTGCCACACGGGAAGTTCAAGATCGACCACAATCGGCGAATTGAACCGTTTGCCCCCCTGGTGCGGCCAGCTAGTGGACACGACAGCGGCGTTGACAATGCAGGTCTCCTTTCTTAGTTTTTGCAAGGCGTAATCAAAACGCCGGCTACTGGAGCCAGGGTTACCCGCACCCAGGGACAAATGATCGCTCGGCGGGTTTCGTGGACTTGCCTTGTCAAAAACTCCAGCAGATGACTCTGACCCTGGTGAGGCTGATGACATCGAATGTGTCCCTGCCAGATCATGTTGTCTTTGCCCAGGGTACGAAAATCCCTCGTTGTCTAGGCGTTTGTCCCGTTTACCAGTCAAATCGACTAAGCTCTGTTTCTTGCTTCCCGCGGGTGGAAGAGCGCCCCGAGTGACATGGTCAACTGAATCAAATTCTGGCTGTGTTTCTGTTTCTGTCTTGGTAAGCTTGCCTCGCCAGCGAACTCGTTCGTACCCTCGTCCTTCATGCACATGGCCACAAACAGCCAAGTGCGGCCTGATGAGGCTCAATGCACTACGAAGCGCAGCACACCCAACGAACATTCCGTTCGGTTTCTGGTCGCAATGGGATTGTGGTGGCGTATGCGTGATGACGATGTCCGTGTCGATTGGTATCTGACCCCACAGCGCAGCAGCATCACTTGATTCATATCCGAAAGCCCAGTTTCCTTGAGATGGCGAGTATGGGGACCCAAATATTTTAAATACTGTGTTTGGTCCGCCCGCTCGCGTCAAGCGAATTAGGGCGGGCTCATGGCGAAGTAGGACGATCGAAGGCGACTCCGCAATGAGTTTTAGGCAGTGATGTGAATCTTCGAGGAACTGGCCGTGGAAGCTTTGTCCATGCTCTCCGTAGAGTGTTGGGTCTAAGGTGATATCGTGGTTGCCTGCTCAAAAGGTTAGGGAGTTTGTATCGACGTTTTCCTGCTAACAAAACGGTGCATTTTGGCGAGCAGCGAAGATATAACTTCCATTAATGCCGGGGTTAAGTCAAGTGTATATTGGGCACGTGAACAACATATTGAATGACTGACCACCAACTATGATTTTGATTTCAAAGTCGGCCTTGCAGATCCAATCCATTGTTCTGCGGAGCTCTTTTAGACTTCCATTGTTCGTCAAGTCGCCCGCATGAATCAGAACATCGCCTGCTGGTAGTTTGAAGCCGGCTTCCGAGGGCGTATATCCGTGTGTATCAGAGACGCAGACAAAACGCGTCTTTTGTCGCATGACTCGAGCATGTAGAGGACCCCTACCTCAAGCTATAATATTGAATGGAAATCAAGTTGGATTGTTGGTGTTTAGTGGGATCACTGTGAATAAGAATAGTGGGATATGAGGCCCAGTGGGAAGTCTCGTTGGCCTTAGTTATCTCTACGAGGAAGTTCTTCTGGGGGAAAAAAACAATGGCCTCGACCCGCGCGGGCAAGGTTGGATACATTAGTCATCGGACCCAATGTTTCCACCTGAAGTTGCCTAGATCATAGATCTGGCAATCGAACAAGACGATAAGACAGAATTCAATGTTTCCAACAAGAAACAGGTTTACATGGAAGTGAAAAGGGGTTTATAGTTATCTATGTTAGTATGATATGAAGTATTTGTAACGAGCATTGGAATTGTATCAACTTCCCGTTCCTCGCAACTTTCAAGATAACCAGTCGATCTTACAATAACCTTCTAGAACAGGGTATATCAGCCCTAAGCCAATGCCCTAACGGCACAAAGAAAAGAGAATCATCATGGCGCACAGTGAGAAATAAAAGTATTACATAATACGATACCGAGCGGAGTCAGGAGAGGCACAGCACGTGACTCAGATAGTTCCTGATTGGTCATGCTTAGGGCTGCGACCCTCGCCATTAACACAAAGTGAGCGGACCCTCGCTTAGCCCATTCTCATCGAGCCATCCGACTTCGTTGTGTGCGTCGACTTGACACCCACGACAACAACCGCCGACAACATCCATCCCACGGGACATTAGATCACCAGGATGTCCTCATTCGAATCAGTGGTGCGTTTTTACCCAACGACTTGAGTGCCGCTACTCTCGCCTCCAAAGTGTCCATATCGAATCTGTCGCTGACTTGAATTGTTTGGAAATAGGTCGTCATCGACGGCAAAGGACACCTCCTCGGTCGTCTGGCCAGCACTGTCGCCAAGCAGCTGCTCAACGGTCAGAAGATCGTCGTCGTGAGATGTGAGGCTCTCAACATCTCCGGCGAGTTCTTCCGCGCGAAGCGTACGTTCAACCCCCTCGAATATTTCCTTTGCGTTCTGTGTGATATTGGGAACTGTGTGAATCAGTGTGGAGGAAAGAAACGACCGACAACACCCGCAACTCGAAAACCATTGGCAGTTCTTTGATGGCAATTTTGGCCCAATTTTTTCCCGGAGGAAATGCACTACAATTTGGACATCAGAAAGCTGACTCGAAATTCCGCCCTACAGTCAAGTACCACGCCTACCTTCGCAAGATGACTCGTTTCAACCCCACCCGTGGTGGTCCCTTCCACTTCCGCGCTCCTTCCCGTATCCTCTACAAGGCCATCCGCGGTATGATGCCCCACAAGACCGCCCGTGGTGCCGCCGCTCTGGAGCGCCTTAAGGTCTTCGAGGGTGTCCCCCCTCCCTACGACAAGAAGAAGCGTGTCGTTGTTCCCCAGGCTCTCCGTGTCCTGCGTCTCCGTCCCGGTCGCAAGTACTGCACCGTTGGCCGTCTCAGCCACGAGGTTGGCTGGAAGTACCAGGATGTTGTTTCCAGGTATGTACAATCCCAGATTTATTATCTGAGTGTGATTTTGGCTCAATCGATAATTCTAACACGTTTACAGACTCGAGGAGCGCCGGAAGGTCAAGAGCAAGGCTTACTACGAGCGCAAGAAGGCCGCTCGCCGTGTCCTTGCCAAGGCCGAGCAGGGAGCGAATGTGGACAGCAAGACCAAGACCCAGCTTGCTCAGTATGGCTACTAGATACCTTTAGCGCGGCTGGTTGTTGTGTCGAGCGATGGTTCTGGGATGGAATCGCGGGCGAATTTGAACGGCAAGCCGACCGACCCTTTTCTGCAGCCCGATTCCCTAACTCATGAATACCACTGTCTGTGACGCACATGACGGCTCGGGGATTGGGGTCTTCGAAATTTTCAAAAGTCGAAAAACGGAGTCGATTGGGATTAAAAGGTTCAAAATAGCTGGCCGTTGACTCGCGCCGTGGCGGTTTAATCCAAAGAAACAATTTTCAAGAGTTCAACATGATTCTTATGATCAAAAAATCCTTTGACCTATACTTTTTTTTATATCCTGGTAACCCCCTTGATTTCCCCTGTAACATTGTATATGTATCATGCCTATGTGTCTCCCCGCAATTGCCTTGGGTATATCATATTTCACCCCCGGGGCCAGTTATGAAATGTGACGCCTACTCAATTTCCAAGATGATTCTTTGTATCCACTGCCCCCACACAAATTAACCGACCAATCCGTGATAATCCATTGAAGCGAGTATAGCCGTATGCAGATCAAGCCTTTCCCGAAATTGAGGCCATATTCAGTCCCTTAGTCCGGATAGCCCCCCCAGAGTTAACTAGTACCCGAACTCCCCCCCGCCTCCCCCTTAGCCGCGGCGTTAGTCCCATCCCCGCACTTTCTCCAACTTGGAGATTTCACTACTCTGTTCAGTACTTCAACCTCGCCTTACCTCTGTTGTTTAACACAACACGTTATTTAAAAAAAAACTAAATATCAATCTACACCTCTTGTATATCATGTCTGGTTCGAAGTCTCGGTTGTCTGGCCTGCTTGGCCATTTCACAGGTTCAACACCGCCGCCTGAACCCCGTGTTAATACCCATACACTGTCCCCGACTTTCTTCCTTCCTCGTGCTGCTGCCGTTGAACCCAATGTAAGCTCATTGCAAATGGCCCCTAGGTATTCCAATGATCTCACAAAGAATTTCACAGGCTGAGGCGATCTACCATGTAACGGCCAACAACAAAATCCTTCGCAGGAGCTACGGCGAAACCGCAGATCGAGCGAGGGGTTTGGCTTACTACCTCAAAAAACATGAGCTGAACAGAGTGGGGATACTCTGTCCGAATACCCCAGCATTCCTCGAGTCAATTTTTGGAATCGCCGCAGCTGGCGCTGTCAACATCGGTAATCTAATTGTCTTTTGAGAGATATTGTTCACCAATTAAACTGACATGTTTGTAGCTGTCAATTATCGTCTGAAACAAGAAGATATTGCTTATATATTTGATCATGGTGATGCGGAAGCGATCATCGTCGACGAGGAATACGTTCCGCTTCTGGAGAACTATCGATCCCAGTACCCCCACATCCCTATTATTGTAGATACCGACACTGATGCAACGGAGGGTGAGCTGACAGGTCCCTTTGACGAGGCCGTTCTGGAAGGCCTCAGACATGACATCGCTACAGGCTCTCAGGGTTGGGACGGACTCGAGAGTCAAGCTGCCGATGAAGAGTCCACACTTGCGTTGGCATATACCAGCGGGACTACGGCCCGTCCTAAGGGTGTTGAGTTCAGCCATCGAGGCTGCTATCTGGCAACATTGGGAAACATCATTGAAACTGGTCTGAACTACCACCGCGGCCGTGCGCGTTATCTATGGACGCTACCCATGTTTCACGCTATGGGTTCGTGAATTTTTCCCACTCGAGTAACCTGAAATCAATCTGCATACCTAACATGTATTTACACATATAGGCTGGACATTTCCATGGGCAGTGACAGCCGTTCGTGGAACCCATTATTGCCTACGCAAGATAGACTACCCCGAAATCTGGAGGTTGCTGAAAACGGAGCACATCACCCATTTCAATGCTGCACCGACTGTGAACACGTTGCTTTGCAACGCCAAAGAAGCAGAGAGACTTCCTGAGCCTGTCCGCGTCACGGTGGCAGCAAGCCCGCCCACGCCACTCCTCTTCGAGCAAATGACCGACCTAAACTTGCACCCTGTACATGTTTATGGAATGACGGAGACATACGGGCCAATCACCAAGGGCTATCACTTGCCAGAATGGGACGTGCTTCCTCTTAAGGAGAAATACCAGAGGATGGCCCGCCAAGGCCATGGCTTTATTACAAGTCTACCAAGTAGGGTCATCAAGACCGAAGTACCTGAAGGGACCATCACCGATGTTTGTAAGGACGGCCAGGAGATTGGCGAGATTGTTTTTGTTGGAAATATATGTGCCCGAGGATACTACAAGGACCCCGAGGCAACTCAGAAACTGTTCGCAGGAGGTGTCTTACACTCCGGAGACTTGGCTGTCTGGCATCCCGATGGTGCGATTCAGATTCTTGACCGTGCGAAGGATATCATCATCAGTGGTACGTGTGGCGAGCGGCTCAACTGCCAATAGACCAGATTACTAACAATAATTAGGCGGCGAAAACATCTCTTCCGTTGCACTTGAGTCTATGCTGGTCATGCATCCTGACATTTTGGAGGCTGGTGTCGTTTCTGTCCCTGACTCCCATTGGGGCGAACGACCCAAAGCCTTTGTTACAGTAAAGGAAGGCAAGAATCTGCAAGGCTCAGACTTGATTGATTGGGCTCGTAATGTTAGCGGAATCAGCAAATTTATGATTCCTCGAGAAGTGGAAGTGGTCCGTGAACTACCAAAGACCAGCACTGGCAAGATTCGGAAGAACATCTTGCGTGACTGGGTGAAGGGTTCGAGAGAAGTTTAGACAAAGCCATTGAGATAGATATCTTTCTAGGTAGATGGTTAGATCACTTTGAACAAATGTGGGAGATGTTCTGGAAGAAAGCAGGGCTTCCCCGAGGCCCCGTACATTCCAATGAGGTCAGATGTCCGGTATTCCCGCATTCAGTAGATCGATTGTAGATCCAGCACGAGGCCACATCAAACGACTTTGAATTTCACCTTCACCTACTAGTTCAATAAGGCAGTCTAATTCTCATTTTTTCTTATAGGAGTTAGATCCAAATTCCATATCCCAAAGGGTTCCAATCTACAGACCATCTTCCATCTTATCAAACGATAAGCAGTGCTTGGCACTGACTCCGCAACACTGTGAAACCCGGCCCCATTGCCTCATCTCCCCCTCCATAGCCGCTTTTATCCCTTTACATTTACTTGCATTGATTTTTCTGGTTACGCATTTTCATCTGACCCAAGGGGTGCTTGGGGCCATGATCTAGATTGGTTCGACTTCATTTTGAACGACCTGCCCTTGTCAACATCTCCCTTGCCATCCAAATACGCGCCGCGAAACCACGCTTACATCCCTCGTGCACCCACCTTGCTGCAGCTATTTCCCGAAAACTACATTTATCTACCAGACTTCAGACAAACGTCTTAGGACTATCGACTGATCAAAGACTGACTGCATCTGTGGACCGGACTTACCTGTTTCAGTCTCACATGCACCGCCCATGCAGAGTTCCCTGAAGTTATGAGATTTCAACCATACCGACACCCGAAAAATATACTGAAGCGAACTTCGAAAAGAGAATCTACTGCTACTAGGATGCATCGGCCACGAGAAGCCGGTCGATGCTCAAGTGCAGCCCCTTCCGAAACCTCTGGATCGACGTCACCCGAACGTGCCGCCGATGATGACACCGATTTCTTCATGGCCCAGGCCAACGACTCACAATCCTCCATCGGTGTGGCTAATTTCCGCGATTCTCGCTTGCCAAGTGAATCATCCCAGCCACTGCCGCCGATCGGCCGCCTTCCACCCGAGATTCTGATCGCGATCTTCTCGAAATTGGTTGCGCCCTTGGATATGCTCAATTCCATGCTAGTGTGTCGTGGATGGGCTGCGAATGCTGTAGGGATACTATGGCATCGCCCGACTTGCAACACCTGGGCCAATGTGAGAAGCGTGACTACGTCGTTGGGGAAACCGGATAGTCTTTTCAACTACGCAGACCTTATCAAGAGATTGAACCTATCTGCTCTGTCAGATGATGTCAGCGATGGAACTATCCTCTCTTTCAACCAGTGCAAGCGGATTGAGCGGCTGACATTGACGAGCTGCAAGAACTTGACGGATAAAGGCGTGTCGGACTTGGTGGAGGGGAACCGGCATCTGCAGGCGCTGGATGTTTCAGAATTGCGACATCTTACAGATCACACGCTCTCAACGGTGTCCAGGGACTGTCCGCGTCTGCAAGGCCTGAACATCACAGGTTGTTCAAAAATCACCGACGACGCGTTGCTCATTGTATCACAACAGTGTCGTCAAATCAAAAGGGTATGTGGATCATATGCGGGATTTTGGGTTGACCCCAATCACTAATTGTGTAATAGTTGAAACTCAACGGAGTTTCTAATGTCTCAGACCGGGCCATTCAGTCCTTTGCCGAAAACTGCCCGTCTATACTGGAAATCGACTTACATGACTGCAAACTTGTCACTAGCATATCAGTTACTCCGTTGCTCACGACACTGCGGCATCTCCGAGAACTGCGGCTTGCACATTGTACTGAAATAGACGACAGCGCGTTCATGTCGTTACCTCAAATGACCTTTGACAGTCTTCGAATCCTCGACCTTACCGCATGTGAGAACGTCAGGGATGATTCGGTGGAGCGAATTGTGCGCGCAGCTCCTCGTTTGCGGAATCTGGTACTAGCAAAATGCCGATTCATCACAGATCGATCTGTGATGGCTATTTGCAGGCTAGGAAAGAACCTCCACTATGTGCACCTCGGCCATTGTTCGAACATCACGGACTCGGCTGTGATGACCCTGGTCAAGTCCTGCAACCGTATTCGATACATCGATCTGGCCTGCTGTAACCTCCTGACGGATCGTAGTGTACAGCAATTGGCTACCTTGCCGAAGCTCCGAAGAATTGGGCTAGTCAAATGTCAGGCCATCACCGATCAGAGTATATTAGCATTGGCACGGCCCAAGATGGGCCATCATCCTTCCGTCAGCAGTCTAGAGCGTGTTCACCTGAGCTATTGCGTTCAATTGAGAATGAAGGTGAGTCTCGATCGAAGCTCTTGATGTACACGATACGTAATACTGACATTACGGCTTAGGGTATTCACGCTTTGCTGAATAGCTGCCCACGCCTGACTCATTTGAGTTTGACCGGCGTCCAAGAGTTTCTGCAAGAGAACCTCACTGCATTCTGCCGAGAAGCTCCCCCAGAGTTTACGCAACAACAACGGGACGTCTTTTGTGTGTTCAGCGGGGATGGTGTCAATCGACTCCGAGACTACTTGAACCGAAGTGAACCACCATTCCAAGAAGAAGCCGAAGCTACGATGTACGATGACGACGAAGAGCTGGACGAAGATGAGGGCCAAATGACTGGGTTGATGAATGCAACTGTCATCAACGATGGAGACGATGATTATATCGACGTTGGGCCTTTGAATACTTGATACGATACCCCCTTTCTTTGCGGTCGAAAATAAGCCCAGGCCCTCGCATTTCTTCCTTTTATTCAATTCCCTGTTTTCTTTTATCCGCGATTCTTTGCTGGATCAAACAGGCAGTCATATTTCTACCCATATGAGCAAAGATCACCTTATCCTTTATTATGTGTTATTGTGGGAAATGCATTAGTACGCTGGCCATTACGGACTTGGATTATCATTTTTGTTGTCAATGTGTAATCGCATAGAATTCTCATTTCACTCAATTTCCTCAATGTTGTGTTAGTGTAGGATTGTGCAGCATATCAGCATATGTCCCTGTATGTACCCCAGTGAGTAAGTCCTCGAGCTTATGTAATAATCAGGGGCGTGCTCAGTTTTACTCAGTGAGTAAACGGCGGCAAGGGGTGACACTTAAACGGAAAGGGAAATCCAACTTGCCCGGCCTAAAATCCGGTTTATATGTACATAAATATATGTATGTAATTTACTGTAATTACGACACCACAAGCTACCCCCGCATTTGCCTTGGATTCGACTCCAACTTCAACCTCCACTCCACCCACTCAGCTTGAACAGCACAGGGTATGGCTACCTACAAGGCCAGCAACCCTCTGGCATTTACGCCATGGCCGGTAACAATCATCACCACGGTCGTGTATCTCGCCTTGATCATCCCATTGCTGGTGATCCACCACAACGTCCCATCCGCGCCTCGGACGAGCCCCAACGGCCTCAATCTCACGGAGGCATGGCAAGATCTCCAAAGCTTGACAAAAGGCTTTCACCCCTACAACTCACACCAGAATGACGAGGTCCGCTTGTGGCTTCTCGAACGTATCGACGCGATCAAGCAGTCCGCCTCATCCACCGAGGAATACCGTGACGCGAAGGAGGAGATGCCCGATGTTTTTGTTTTCGACGACCTGGTGTCTAATCTGACCTTCATCGATAAAAGTGTCGGCGTTTACTTTGAAGGCACCAATATCCTTGTCTATATTCGCGGCTCGGAAGATAAGAAAGAGAATTGGTGGGAGACTCCCGGCCGAATGCCCGTTGGCAAGGGAGGAGTACTTGTCAACGCGCACTACGACAGCGTTTCGACCGGGTACGGAGCGACAGACGATGGAGTTGGCGTTGTAACGTGTCTACAGCTTGTGAAATACTTCCTGACACCGGGCCATGCACCGCGCCGCGGGTTGGTGATTCTCCTTAACAATGGTGAGGAGGACTATCTAAACGGCGCACGCGCATACAGCCAACATCCAATGGCGCACTTTGCTCACACATTCCTGAACTTGGAAGGTGCGGGTGCTGGAGGTCGTGCTACATTATTCCGTAGCTCGGATACGGAGGTCACCCAGGCGTATGCGAAATCGCAGCACCCGTTCGGCTCGGTATTGAGTGCCAACGGGTTTGAAAAGGGTCTTATTAGTAGCCAGACGGATTATGTTGTTCTGGACGGTATCTTAGGCCTGCGCGGCCTGGATGTTGCTTTCTTTGAACCTAGAGCTCGTTATCATACTGATCAGGATGATGCCCGACACACCAGTATAGACTCACTTTGGCACATGCTCTCTACTGCTGTTGCTACGACGGAGGCGCTTGTATCTGATACCACTGATCGGTTCGATGGGCATCTCCGCGACGATGGAGCTGTGCCTAGCGGCTCAGGTACCCGGGCTGTTTGGTTCGATCTGTTTGGGAGCACTTTTGCCGTATTCCGTCTGCACACGCTCTTTGCACTGTCTGTTACTCTGCTCATTGTGGCGCCTTTGACATTGCTTATTACCAGTGTCATTCTTTCAAAAGCTGACAAGATGTATCTCTTCCGCTCATCGGTGTATTCCGAGATTAACGACGACAACATTCCGTTGCGTGGTTTGCGTGGTTTCTTCCGGTTTCCATTCTTGATCTCGATTCCTACAGCAGTGACTGTGGGATTGGCTTACATGGTGACGAAAGTCAACCCTTTAATTGCTCACAGCAGCTCATACGCCGTATGGAGTATGATGATCTCAGCTTGGATCTTCTTGGCTTGGTTTGTATCTCGCGTCGCAGACTTTGCCCGCCCATCAGCCTTTCATCGAGTCTATACCTGGACTTGGATGTTTGTTTTTACCTGGTCTCTCATGGTAGTGGGCACCGTTTATGAGCACGAGGATGGGCTCGCTGGTGGTTATTTCATGCTATTTTACTTTGCCGGAACCTTCTTGGCCACATGGATCTCCTACTTGGAATTGTTCTCTCTCCCAACGAAGTTAGAATACGTCGGTGGGTTGGCCGAATCACGACGACCTAGTACCCAGGGAAGCCGACTTGCTGCATCGAGTGATGAGCACCAGGACGATGATGCCGAAGAGGACCCGACTGAGTCAACATCGCTCTTGCATGGCCGACACCGCACCACCTTTGCCAACTACGTCCGCGTTGGGGTAGACCGCGCATCTGATGAATTAGGCGAAGAGGAAGAAGAGAAAGACCCGAACGTGTATGCGCACGAGCAGGGGTGGAGTGGCGTGTTGCCTCGATGGACGTGGCTGTTGCAGCTGCTCATCACAACTCCCGTAATTCTGATGCTGATCGTGCCGCTGGCTCTTCTGATTACCAGCGCTCTCAGCCAGACCGGTCAGGATGGTAGCCCCCAGCTGATCGTCTATCTCTTTATTTCCATTCTCACTGCACTCCTATTTGCCCCTATGCTGCCATTTATCCACCGATACACCTACCATCTGCCTATCTTCCTACTCTTTGTTTTCATCGGAACGATGATATACAACCTGGTCGCCTTCCCGTTCGCAGACTCCAACCGCCTAAAGCTGTTCTTCCTTCAAGAGGTCGATCTCGACAACGGGATCTCTATTGCTTCATTGACCGGCATGCCGCCGTTTGTAAAGGATGTTACCTACGGGCTCCCCAGCGCAGCAGGCCAGAATGAGACCTGTGATTGGATTTTCCGAGGCAAAAACCAAGTTCAGCGATGCTCCTGGAGTGCACCAGTACCACATGTTGTTCCCAGTGCTGACTCTCTATCCATTTCCAACGAGCATGTCGACTCTCTGCTTGAGGCTTCTGAGTTATCGCCAGACTGGATTTCCTTCAGCATTTCCCACCCTCAGCCAGATAGTTCCTCTGTCCGATTCGAAGTGTCAGGCCAAAATACGCGTAACTGCCGCATCAACATGGACGGAAACTATATCACGAACTTCAGTGTGGTTGGCTCCTCCGCTCCAGACCACCGCTTCCTAAATCCGTCCCCAGATGGTCTGAATCGCATCCAATTGTGGAGCCGTACATGGGACAATAAGTGGACTGTTGATGTTGATTTCTCAGAGCATGACTCATCTGAGACTCATGAAGTTGATGACTCCTCTATCAGGGGACGCATCACCTGCCTATGGAGCGACAATAACCGAGTCGGCCTCATCCCCGCTCTTGACGAAGTGAGGCAGTTCAGTCCGGCGTGGGTGGCTGTGACCAAGTTCTCTGATGGATTGATTGAAGGATCTCGGTCATTCGAGATTAAGCGTTCGAGCCTCGGCGCTTTGGGGTCTTGAGTCCTAGTGGTAGGAGGAACGTAGTGTCTTAACAACTCCTATGTACGATTTATGAGCTGTTTCGATTTTCCATCCATCCTTTTTTTATTGTGCTGTGTGTATCATCCTATCGACGGGGCATTTGTTGATTTATATTTCGGTCGAGACATAACATACCCTTGACTACATCAACAAGGACCTTAATGCCAGAACTCTAGGAGAGGACAGAGAGCAGCACGACTATACATCGCTACCGACTGGATTAAGGAAAAGAGGTAGAGGAAGGAAGAGGAGCAACTATCTACTCCAAACAACTAGCCACCCATCGGTCATCTACGGGTCTCAAGATCCATTCATCGGGGTCTGCTGGCATAGTCTCAACAGTAGTTAGTTCCACGTTTGTGAGCAATCCCATAAAGGGGCTCACATGTCTTCCGCGCCTGTCATAGTACCTCTTCTGGGGCTTTGGTATCCACCTCGCGGCAGGCTTCCTCGAATACTCGAAGTGTATATCCAATACAAAGGCCAAGCGCTGCAACCGCGGGAGAAACCCGGAGATTCAAAAGCCCACAGCCAATCTACCCAATGTTCAGACTGGGGTAGCGAAGCGGGACCGTGAAAGTAAAAAGTCGTCAGATTAGGCGGAAAGACCTGGTAGAGCGTTTGCACGATGGACTTATCCATGAAGTCTCCAAATGTGACGCTTAGAGTCTGCAAATTATCCAAGGCAGGCAAGAACGCCCAAAAGCAGCATTTTTCGATCGGTTCGCATCCCCCTCCATCAGTGTGTCGGAGGAGCAGTGTCTGCAGGTTTTCCAGGGGATGTGGCAGTACCTTTGCCATACGACAAAACGTTTTGATAACGTCTTATTCCCAGATTTCAAGTGTGTACAAGTTGATTGGACCATTTCCCGGTTCAATCTTCGAGTTTTCAATGTTGAACTTGTGCATGCGGTTTGCCACCAAGCTTGGGAAATCGACAACCTTGATCTCCTTCTCGTTCGGTTTATGTGATTTGGTAGGGAAGTATTTGAGCCTTGTCTTTCCCTTGTAAAGGGCTTCCAACTCTGGACGAGAGAGTTCAGCGGTCGTGGGACCTTCGAAGTGTAGGTAACAGTTGTAGAACAGGATTAGGTGCCCGACTAGCCCCTTGCGGATGAAGGGAGTCTGGGTTAGCTCGCCGTATGTTGCAAATAACATGAGCTTCTGCAGAATCCAGTGGAGTGAAATCAGCTTGTCGTTTAGCGTTTGTTCATGGCTATCAGGCTCTAGCTTTAGGATATCAACGGTGGAAAAGTGGGCGCCGAGTAGAGCCTATTCTGGGTCTGATGGGGTTTCACCTACGATGAGGAGCTCTGTTGTGGTTTTGGGGATGGATTGTAGTTGGGATTGCGACCGAGATTCGTGGTCTGGTCGCGATGTCTCCCGTGGGCCTTGAACCGTGATAGACGTATGTCATGGTGGAGGCCGGATGTTAGCTTAGCTTCGTGAGAAGTGGACAAGACAGGCGAAAGGGAAGATAATATTGTAATTGGGAATGCAGACAGTATTTAACTGAAAGTGCGAAATACGCCGATTCATCTTGTCTTAGTCAATTTACAAGGTATGAGCCTTTGTACTAAGGATTGGAAGAGTGTTAGCAACTACCTGACCTTGGGCTAGTTTATAAAAAAGAAAAATCCGATAATTGCATGTGATTCAGAGAGGGGGTTTTCCAAAAAAATCTGTGGAGAGCTGGGAAGGGTGAGGCTATCAAGCGGCATAGAACCCAAAGGGCTGGAGATGTTCAATCAAGAATAGCCAACCTTGAAATCTCGGAGCAAATTAAGTTCGAGCCGCAAACATCTGAGCCCTGGAACTATCCGGAGTAATTAAGCTTATGGCTAAAGTTCTTTCTATCCATGGAAATCCATTCGGGAGAGTTCCAGGTAGATGCAGGTTTATAATGTTAAATTTATCTATATATACTTGTGGACTACATGTAGGTACATGCAACTTTTATATATTTAGAAAGCCTATCACATTGTCTGACAGCCCACCCTAATTTAAAATGTCTCGTTTGCACGAAGACCTAGAAGAATATCGAAGCCACATGTCTAGTGAAGACACGACGGAAGAGCGACACAGAAATAAATGAGAATATTAGGACCACAGTTTATTAGAAATCACACAGAACATAAGGTTGCCTGTATATTTCGAAGAGAGAGGGATGTGCAATGAAGATAATTGGAACATATTTAACAACAACCGTATCTCAGGAGATAACTACTGGGAATCATTCTATATACAAACAAAAATGAACATGCATCTACATTGTATTGTCGTAAATGAACCCTGGCGGGTTTCACATTTGTGGATTCCCCATCAAGGAAGTTACTGGCTCAGCGGCACAACAACTCTGGGTGAATCCTGAATTCAATTGTGGTGACCCAGGGAGCTGGCGCAAGGCCCGAGGTTTGACCATGGGGAGTTGAATTTCCTCGGGATTGTCGGGGTAGAGGTCGGTTTGAAGACTGGTTGATGTGTGATGTTCATAGAGAATGAAGTGGGATATTTGGAGTCCCAATAATGATCATATATCATAAGCCGTGATTCGTAAAGAAGAAGAAAAGAAGTCCGTAGGGTATTGCTGCGACAGGATCTATTCTCATCCTGGTTTCTCGGGCATTTCCCGACAGTTATGTTGACGTGGATAATGGTAGAATGGAATGGTGGGGTCGATTGGGAGGTGATCTACATGATAGGCGCGGGCCTCATTGCTCCACGAGTTGGAGAGATCGGAATTGGTTCGTATGCGGTCGGGCGGTAAATGTTCAAATATGGCGATAGAAACGTCGTCGGCATCCATTCGGGAAGGTCTGCGATGGACGAGACTAGGGGCGGCATGGGTCATATCGGAAGTCATCCGGCTTCTGTCGACAAAATCGGGGAGGTCGCGTGGCGCACAAAAAGATTCGGGTTTCCAGACGTGATTGTGGACCAAGTGAATGAGTTTACCAAGGACGGCGAATTCAAGCTTCAGCTTGATGCTATATACGGCGCCTTTGAGCATGGTTTCCATGATGTAGAAGTTCATGTACTCAGCGACGAGCAGACCCAAGTCCAGGATGATGATGATGAAGTTGATGACCAGCAGCTGGTATTGAATCTTGCGCTTGGCACGGTCCGGGTCTAAGCGTAGCATGCGTACTGTTTCCCAGATATATAGCCCCGAGATGATGAATTCCTGCAGACAGAAGCCTGTCATTTGGATCTTTTCCATTATATTGTAGCCTTTTTTCCAGGGTTCCAGGGCGACCTTGTCGTGAACCATGTTGGCACCGTAGGTGAGGGCGGTGGTGGGAAAATGGAGGATGACTACGTTAATCATGATCATGATCAACACGCGACGCAGGACTCGGTGGTTTGATAGGACCAAATGTAGGCGCGAGTACAGGACAATCGACTGGCCGGTGACCATGCACCACCATCCAATGGTGAGCAAGGTGACAGGGAGCCATAAAGCGTTGTCGGTGACTTTGAAAAATTTGAGTAAGAAGCCTAGCGTGTAGGGAACTAGCCCGGCGGCGGAGGAAATAAATAAACTCCAAAAGTAGAGTCCTCGGTATTCCGCGAAGGTGACAAAGAGGAGGATCATTAGCTCGAAGGCATTGTACCAAGTGATACCAGCCAGAGTGGCGATCGTGATCTTCATTTCCAGGGAGGTTCCATTATAGTGACCACTGATGCCATCCCCGGCGGCACTGAAATTGCTCATGGCGTTGACTCAGCGTCAGGGGAATAGCGGCATGGCGTGTGGAGTAGATGTGGATTCGGGTATGAGATATAGGAAAATCTGGGGACTCAGGGGACTGAGGGGGGAGGGACTCTGAGCGACCTAAAAATGTGAAATAAAGAAAAAAGGTAAGATAGAAAAGAACAAGGAGGCAAAGACGAAGCTGGGGCGCACTGGCGCACTGGCGCACCCCGTATATTGCATGCGGGGGCCGGCGATCTGGGTACCCCAGACTGGGTAGAAAATAGAGATGTTAATTCCTACTCCGTACGGAGTATATTGTAGTATATCGTAGTACTCCTATAATAATAAACCAAAAATGGGGAAATGTTGAAAATATCAATCCAAAAAAGCAAAAAAAAGGATTCGCTTCCCACTTGGATCTCTTTCTCCAGATCTCATATCCATATGCTACCTATCCATTTGGGGTCCCCATGTTTTACAGTGTATGAACTTCTCTCAACCGCTCTTAAAAACCTCATGTTGTAGGTTCAGGGGCAATATATTGAACCCCAAAAAAGCCACACTAAAAAGGGAAATATTGAAATTGCAACCCATTTGCCAGCCAAGACTTTTTGGTCCCGGGCATATCCAGCCTCACTGCCAGGATCATAGCCCGCTTCATTGCGCCACAAAAATCTCGTTTATGAGAGTGCCTTTATCCCATGGATAATTTGGTACTCGAGGTCCTTGCATTCTTTGTTCCAATTCGCATGTGCGGAATTGGGCCTGGGATTTATTCAACAAAGACAGCTTCAATGGTATTTACTGGGGAGAATATCACCCTGCTTTGGCCAAGCGACACTCCACAAAGATCTGCTGATGTCATCGGGAAATGGCGCCCGGGCGCGTGACCTGCTCAAATAACACAGCCCTAGCCTCTATCTTGGCCTATGTTGTAGGTATTTTGTATGGAAGAGAAGGCTATTTACGAATATGATTCTGACTTAATTTCTCCAAACTCATTCATAATACTTCATCCAATGATGCTCTTCCCGAAACCCAAGCAGCTCCTTAATTTTTCGGTTACTGATGGGAGCCTCCCTGGCCCCCAACTCTCGCGTAACCGGGACACGGGGACAAACCCGCGCTAGGAACTCTGCAGTGTTCTCGTAATTTGTAATTTCGTCATTGACAGCGTTAAAGACCTGAAATCCAAGGCCATCCTTCCGAACTGCGAGATCACACATCTGCCCGAGATCGCGAGCATCGATGTACGACCAGCCATGCGGCGCCCATTTCTCGGGATTTTCAACATATGAACGGAACATGGACTCTTTGTACTCCTCGGGAGCAACAATGCGACCGATACGCAATATATAGATATCGCTTCCATACCGGCGCGCGAACCCACGTGCAATGCTCTCGCCGCACACTTTTGAGATGGCGTATGTGTCCATCGGGTTTGCGTCGACGCTTTCCTCGACTGGGAAGGAGGGATAATCTACGTCTCCCTCTGCAAAACTCACTCCGTAGACAGTGACAGAGCTGGCGATGATGATCTTCTTGATGCCGAGGCGTGATGCGCCTTCGATTATGTTGTACGTTGCCGAGGTATTGCCGCGGAAGGTTTCTTCGTCGGGAACGATCATGTTGCGCGAATACCCGGCCATGTGAATAACTGCATCGGGGACTAGCCCGAGTGGCTCACGGAACGGCTCTGTCAAGTGGAAATGAGAGCCTAGTGCGCTGTATACCTGACCGGTGTTTGTCAGGTCGACACGCAAGGTGTGCACTCGCTCTTCCAGCTCAGCGGGAAGAGTAACGAGGTCGAGGTTCAGAATATCATGGCCTTGTTGGAGGAGATATCTGATAATATGCTGTCCGGCTTTCCCGGAGCCTCCCGCGATCACAATGCGTTTCCCCATGTTGTGGTCTTGTCGGTAGGAGGGGCGCTTGGATAATGCGGGGTATAGATGATCAAGATATCTTTATATCGATGGATGGGCATAAACACCGTAGATGGTGGGCTAATAAGTGGCTAGTCAAGATACTGTGATCTGGAATGGAAAGCTCTCAGATGTGTTTGACGAAACAGTCTTCCCTTTTACTGTACGCGAAGCGTGGAGCCGGAAGATAACATCCCGAGATGCTCGGGCCGAGAATGATGGAACGAAAGCTTCCGGAGGAGTAGAATGACCTCGATTCCTAATTTACAAGAATACTCTGCCCATGCGGCCTTTATCATTGACGTGGGACTTGGATGGCAGTAGAGACTATGTACATAGATTAATACTGTGTATGTCTTTATTTCTCCTAACCAGAACGGTCAACCCACATAACCCGCATAATTTAGGGCATATATTTTGATTAAAAAAAGGACTTTTAACCATCGAATTTGGACATGAGCTAAAATAGCATGGGCAACGCTCTCATTAACCGCTTGGACTGGTTAGCGCTACTCGCCTGGATCGCCTGTTCAAGGTAAACCTCGTCCTATTGGTTATGTTTTTGTCTGTTATACGGGCAATTTGTGCCAAGTATGCATAGCCCTCACCGACATTCAAGAAGTATGCACATACATTTGCACCCCACCTGATTGCAAGCAAAGGTTCGATGCTACAAATGTATCGCGCAAGCTTTTCTGCCCGTTTCTAAAGATCATGAGGTTCAAAGTGAGAAGGACGGATGAGTTGAGCGCCGGTTATTTTCTATAGGATTAGTAGAGGGCCAAAAAAGAATCTCGAAAGCCCTCCCATTGCACCCTATGCGGGCCCCAGATTAGGCAAAGTGTAACAGATAATCTGATTAGTCCCGTAATTCTCGACAGTGCCTACGTAATAATGCCCCGAACACGAGTCTGGATTCATGATTTGGCTCATCCTCATAGATCTTATTTATTGTTGCTTTTTATACCCTTATAGGAGGATGTGGTGAACTCCTTGAGCCCTAACAGCCATCATCAAAATCGCCAAGCTCGATAACTAAGCTCAGCCAAGATATCAGCCCGGCATTCTATGTTGCGGACATGACAGGGTACAGCGCTTCCAACTCCCTTGTTTTAACGAGTCTGGGGCGATCTGAGCATGATATCACCGGGTGATCACGATGATGGTAATATCTCACACCTGCTCTAGCCTGCTCGACAATCATAATCACCCAGTAAAACCACACAGAGCGTATTATAATGAATATGTTCACAACAATGCTTTGGACAATGTGCTCTTGCGGACAGTCCCAACTAGAATATCCGCTATAGCCTTCATCCCATCAAGATTCGGATGGAGAAGTGGCCCCGATGCAAAGCCTCCAACCCAGGGTTCTTTGCTGCCAAGTGCATGTTCCTGGCTGAGTTGGTGAATCGGGACTGTCTCACACCAATCGGTTCGACCTTCTACGGCGACAGAATATGCATGTTGTAGACCAGACGCAACACCGCGGTAATGCTGAATTCTCTCCTGGGTCAGCGGGATGTCCCGACCAGCTTGAGTGCCAGGTCCCAGAACAGCAAGATATTCGACCAGGAAGACCCGAGCTCCCGGGGCCTTTTTGTGTATCTGATCGAGGACTCCCCCCAGCCGTTCTGCCAATTCGCTGGATGATAGTGGCGCGGATGATTGTAGCTCGCCATCGCAAGCATCGGCGATCATGCCGCCAATGTAGTTTATGTCGTTTCCTCCAGCAGTCACGGTGATTATATCGGCATCTTTGGGGAGGTTGGAGATCTGCGGCGGGAATGTCGTATTGAATGGGGTAGACTGTGGATCGACTGTTATGTTGAGCAACGTTGCACCGGAAACAGACAGATCAGTAAGATCAGCGTTCAAGTGCTGCGCCAGAAGATGGGGGTAATTCTGCCCTGATCGCAATGCGGCTTTTGGTTCAATTTGTGGGGGAATGTCAGGACCAGCAGTAAAGGAGCTGCCCAGACTTGCAATCTTGAGTTTCTTTGGAGATTCCATAGTCCAGCATAGAAGAGCAGAGGAACAAAAGAGCAGGGAAGCTTGACTCAAAAGTTGGAGAGTAGCTTTGGCAGAATCCACGGAAAATTGATGCCTAAAATGCCAGGCCAAAACAGCTCAGCCCAGCTGAAAGTTGGCTGCAGGCTGGCGCCCACCGGCTTAGGGGCGCAGCGCCCGTGACCCTAGCCCTGAGCCCAGGCCTCGTATCCCCAAAGATCTACAACATGGACATCAGCGGAAGAGTTTGCCTTATACCTTTCAGAAATGCCCGAGTATTAGGTTGCAAACATGACTTGGATCCGCTTGGCAGTTGGGGCGCCTGAATATGCCCCGTAACAGAAGTCACAGACAAACTCGATCTCAGCGTCTTTCTTGGACATGTATCTAGAAATAACCCTCTTGGTGGGTGGGTAGGTGGCCTAACTTGAGCCCCCCAAGACCCGATTGGTTAGATTGTGAATGTGTCCTAGGTAGAATATGCTAAATGTTTATCTTTGGAGTTATGTACTACAGGAATCATGCCTTGAGGTCTTACTTGCCACATGTAAGACATGAGAGTCAAGCTGTCCAGCAATTATTGGAGGTATTTCCTATGTGCCCCATTTGTACTGTTACATCGCATCTAGGAAGTCTACTCCGAGAGATCATGGCGGAGTGACCGTGAGAAACCTCAATCGGAGGCCTCATCTCATAGCCTATTTGGTAAATGGAAAGTCAACGGCTGTACATTGAGAAAAGACTTAAATACCTTCACTCCTTCCGTTGATGCTTTGATTTTTATTCTATCCAAATCCAAACAGCCTTTCACAGTCCAAACATCGAACACCTTTGGAACACCTCTTCTTCCAACTACCCGAAAAACCCACCAAATCGCAAGCATGCAGATCTCTCAGCTTCTTCTCGCAGCTGGCCTCTTCGCCTCCTCTATCTTTGCTGCCCCTGTTGCCAACTCTGACTGGACCATTCGCGAGATGAAGCGCGTCTGCAACAGCGAAAACACCTCGTGCACCTGGACATTTGGCATCGACTCTGGCTCAGGCATTACCGATTGTACCTATGTCGTGGAGGCCGACGATGCCTCTCACGCTAACGGAGGCCCTAGTACATGTGGCGCATACTCCGTCAGCTCAGGCTGGAGCGGCCAGTTTGATCCTACCAACGGCTTCACTACCTTTTCTGTTGTCAACGACGAGACTAGTCAGCAGATATGGCCTGCCTACGCCGACTCGCAGCTTGTCGACGGGGTGGTCGTCAAGCCCGACCAGAGCTACCCTCCCACTGCTCTTCCCTGATTGAGTGAACTGCCCGAGAAGTATGTGGAAGAACGGTTGCTATGGCCGGTATAGGCCAACAGCACTACGTCTCTATCAAAGCCACATGCGTTGTGATAGTCGATTTGGGATCCATTTTCTTTAGTTTAGTGTTGAAAGAAGGAAACGTGTACTCGGAATGGTGTATACATCAATCTCTCACGCTATTTAATGACAGTTGTGTTTTGATTTTTGAACATCTTAATGCTTACTCTGTATTTTGGTGCAACCTTGGGTTGGGAGTATTATAGTTGTAAGGACGCCGAAGACTTCTCGGAGGCAGCAGCTCACCACGTACAGCTCTTATTCTTCCCTTAGCTTTGAATCAATGAACTCGGCGCCATTCGCCACTGATCACCCACTCTGAATCCCTCTGGGAAGGGGTCACTTGAGTCAAGGACTATCTGTTTGAAACTAGTTATCCAAGCTCTCCCAGCAACAGTCGGGAGAACAGCCAGATATCCGCCGACTTGTGTGATTCCACGAATACGGCTGATGAACTCGGTGCCAATAATACTGCGATGTTTGAAAATCTCACCCTCCGCCAGCTGACCTCTCGCATGTAAAACGGCGAGTCGAGCACATGTGCCAGTACCACAAGGACTGCGATCAAAACGTCCCGGTGACACAACAACAGTGTTGGTAGCCATTTTAAACCCGTCCTCTTGTGTGAGAGGCTCCGTAAACGCCAGAATACTGACTCCCTTGATTCTAGGATTCTCGGGGTGAACAGGTGTGAAGGAGGCTTGGACCGCGCGTTTGATACGCTCGCCAATCTCAACTAGCTGCGTGCTATACCGAGATTCGATTTTCAATCCCACGGAAGCTGCATCCACAAGCACATACATCATACCTCCCCAGGCAATGTCAACGGAGACCCCTCCAAGACCGGGGACCAGGACTTGATAGTCGAGTTTGAATACAAAAGCGGGTACATTATCGAATGCCACGCTCTTGCATTTTCCCGCTTCGCATTCTGCTTTCACGGCGACCAGACCGGCTGCGGTGTCCAGAGTCAGTTCAGTGACGGGCTCTTTCATTGGAACCATGCCGGTTTCCAATAGCACGGTGGCGGTGCAGATTGTGTTGGATCCTGACATAGGTGCGTATTCTTCGCTTTCCATGATCAAAAACCCGGCATCGGCTCGTGGATCACAAGGAGGTAGGATCAGATTTGTGTTCATTGAGCATCGGCCTCGAGGCTCGTTGAGTAAAAGCTGACGTATGTCATCTTTTTCGTTCAAAAAGTGGACCAGTTTGTCGTACATTGTACTTCCAGGGACGTCGAGTACTCCACCAGTAATCACATCGCCGACTTCACCTTCGGCGTGGCATCCAACGACTGACAATGTACGCGAAAATGGCATGATATTCGGTTGGCTTATGGATATATCTCGACAAGAGACCGAATCCCAAAAAGAAAAAGTATTACTTTGATTAGGGCTCTGAATTGATTTGAAAGGATGGTTTGCGATTCATAAGATCCTCGTGTTATTTCTGGACATAGATACTTATAGTAGACTAGAACACAGCCGCAGAAACTTGAGCAAACCCCTGGAAGACCATTTAATCGAAACTCAGAGGTGGGCCCTAGCCAAGGGTATATAATTGCTTTTGGCGTGCTTTTGAAACGGACTATCTAGTTTGTGTCTTGACGCTGGAAGCGCTGTAGGCTGTCATTTCTTAAAGGCTAGTGAGTCGTGATCACGGGGACACAATTTATAGTTCTGACATTATGATAGGACAAGAGCTGTTGTCATGATTGATCAACAGGTTAATCCACACACATGCATGAGACAGAGGGCTTAGGCCCTGATCGAACGTCAGCTGAGAGAGGATTTATAACATCTTGGACTACATAACCTTAACGTGCATATCTTGCTTTGCATTCAGATTTCCTCTCGCAATTTTATCGAGTAAGTCTGCTATCAGGTGGCCCATTGAACTATTTCAAGACTATCTAGACGTTTGCTTTATCAAAGGCGCAAAAGGAGGTGTGATGAATCGAGTCCAGTTGCACCCCCACGCAAATCCGAAGCAGAATTGTCCAGACTGTGTGCTTGCCCACTCCGTGTACAAATTCTAGGGAAATATCGTCACCCTAGAATAATGAAGGGTTGGTTTTCAAAACAACATTGATTTGCTAGATACAGACGTTATATTGGGAAATAACATATGCCCCCTCTTCAATCACATTTCAAATCTGCCTTCATAATTTAGGCTAAAGATAGGATAACCACAAGGTTTATTCAATTTTGGGAAACAATATGCGACGGATATTCGGCCAATAAGTCCATATTAGCGTTGTAAAAACAGTGGTTGGTATAGCGAAGACCCAGTAAATCCAGAACTTGTTCGACATAGTCCAGCCGGAGTCTCCACCGAAATCAAAAAATGACATGCTGAAGATAGCGCAGATGAAAGTAGGAGGGAGAAATGTAAGTGTAACAAAGGCGATCGTTTTCATTGTGGCACTATCCAATTGAGTTGCCCGACCAATTTCCAGGGTAACACTGGCATCATGCTGAGCCACAGTATTAAAGGCCAATTGGATTTCATTTTGCAGTCGCTTCTCATTTGAAATGGACCGAGATCGTAAGTTGGCAATGAAAGACTGCCAGGATCGCAGACGAAATTGAATGTCTTCGGAAGCAGCAGAGTCATTATCTGAGTTCGACTTTGTATAGCTCTCGTGTTGCATCAAGACGTGCTCCACATTTTGCAAGGCAATGTCGAGTGTCTCGTTCACATGAATAGCATGCCGAGCGATGTCATGGAGTCGTCTGTAGTCAGGTTGCGGTCTTCCTTCTGGCTTTTCTTCCGTCTCCGTCTGTCGGACATGATCCCGGATAGCCCATACAGAGGGCTCCTCAATCAGCGCAACCTGCTCGACTAAATATGGATAGACCCAGAATGGATTGTTGAGCCAGCTTTCATCCGCTTTCATCACTGCTCTCAGGAAGCGTTCTTTGACGGGCGGGTCCAGATCGAAAGCGAGGACCACGGTTTGATTAGTTGAGGGCAGCCATCGTGTGAAGATATTCGTATGATACCATTTGAACTTGGCATCAGGATCTACCTTTTTCACGGCGAATTTCGACCAGGTATCTAAAGAAGTCAGTGTTGTTCCGACCATTAATCTGTAGTGTACTGACTGAAACCAGTGGTGATGCCGCAATCTCGTGTCCTTTCACAACCAAAGTTCCCATTCCCCTTACGGAAATAATATGACCACCAAAAATGAGGCATACAAAATGCATCAGCGAAGGCTTGTCGACATTGTGAACACCTCTCAATATCGGTAGAATCGGCCACGCTTGTAAATTAGGGAGTTTCTCTTAATATGGGCCATTTCACATACATTATACATATCTTAGACCAAGCCGGAATAGTATCAGAAAGGTCGCTTGGATCTTGGAGGTGAAAGTTCGTCCGCCGAGTTTGTCGCCAATCGCTTGCATCCACTGCGTTTCGCTGCAATATCAGCAGATTAGCACAGTGTTGGCTCTTCTGCTCCTGCATTCTGGTTTAATTAGATGTGATGAGCGCTCTAACCAGGATATTTCGAGTTTGTTTTAGAGAAATCGCGTAGCACAACAAATCTCACCGAGTGGGGGAAATTCGCTGAGAGGGGCCGTGCTCTCTCAGCCTCAAATGTGCAGCGAAACAGATTCAATTCGAGTTTATATTTATCTTGGAGTTTTTACCCCCAGTTTCCTTATTTTACTAGTCTGATCGACGAAGTTCATCGTCCAATGTGGGCGGCCCAACGTATTTCTCGTAGCCCCAAGCCCAGTACCATCCAGAGGCAATTAATATAAACGCAACAAACACCACCGGTGCATAGTTGACTGTATCTGCAGTGACAGGGATTGAAGAAGGCATGCAAAACAATGGAATGACAAGAATACTCCATCCTAAAAACGAAGATGCGATTAGCGATGGCGATAAATCTAGCTAGGTAGTTCGTACTTACCCAGCGCCACAATATTGCAAGCAAGTCCGAGAGCCCCGAGGTCAAATTGACCGTTCTTTATGTGTCTTCGCCCTCCAGCAAAAGACACAACAATTGGACATGCATAGCTGACAGTCAATGTAATAACTCCAACGCCAGTGAAAGCATTGAATGCAGTATTTGACCCGAAGTAGATAAATCCGAGCAATATTTGAACAATCATGCCAAGCATCATAGCATTGAAAGGTACGCCATCTCTGTTTACCTGTCTCCACCATATGGAGCCTGGTATACCCCCGTCGCGAGCAAACGCCCATGTGCTTCGGGAGACAGCAGTGGTGCAACCTATAACACAGAGCAGAGATAGCACTACTAATGGTAGGAGAAGTAGGAATGATCCAATTGGACTTCCAATAGCGGACTTGATAATACTTGGAACTGGTTGGCCGGATTCGAGAGCGGCTACAACCTTTGTGTCAGGGAGCACGAAAACCAATGGAATAAGGAAGAGGAACCCAGCCAGGGTATTTATAATGACCGTTCCAACCATTGCTTTTGGGACTTGTGTTGATGGTTGCTGGACTTCTTCACACATACTTTGATGGGTCAGTTATTATTTTCATGGTGGAGAATGAGACGGGGGATGTCCATTGGGGTGTAAACCAAATATGCCACCTACCAAATCACCATGCCAGTGGAGGAAGTGCTATAAGCTGCCTGCAAAAGTCCGACGCAGAAGGACCAGCCCGCGGGCCAACCAGACTCGGGCTCAAAACTTGTAAAAACATATTCGGCGTCATGTCTGCCTTCTTTTTCTATTGCAAAAACACATATTACAATGGCCAACAATCCTGCAAGCGTCCAGAATATTGCGAATGTCTAGGTCCTATATTAGCACGGTGATGTTGTCACAAGATTGTTAGACATACGTCAAGATAGGGTAACCATTTGTTCCCAAAGGCCGATACTGCGTTAGCAAAGAGTGTGACTGCGAGAAATATAAGAAAAACTTGATATGTTTCCGCTTGGAAGATTTCCACCCCTGGAGCGGACTCGAAAACATTGAGGCATGAGATGAAGAAAAGAGTACTCCCGAGGTTAACTGCAAGCGTGATGGTGATATTTCCAACGACATATGACCATCCACAAATCCACGAGGCGATTCTCCGGTATGGCGGTGGAGACAGCATAAAAGTCTGGTAGTAGACCCCTCCGGCAGTTGGGTAGACCGAGGTTATTTCGCCAAGTGAGGCGGCCACACATAGAGTAATCAAAGAGACAGCAAGCCATCCCCAAATTATGTTGACGGGGCCTCCCCCAATAAGAGGGTAGGTGAAAGTCGTAGCCAGTCCATATGGGATTGCTGCCAGTACAAAGGACATGAAAGCTACCTGAAGCGTGGAGCGGTTTCGAACGAGTTCAGGCTCGTATCCCAGGGCTTCCAGTGCCCCGTTTGCTGAATATTGCTTGCCCTCTTCGATACTGGGGAACTCCGCAGGTGAATCGGGCTCAGAAGCCTTGTTCTTCAAAGAACGATGCCGGTGGGCAGTGACTTCATCTGCCATTATAGGTGTTTGGCAAAGTTGGGATGAGTAACGAAATGGCGGAGAACTCTCTAGGATCCAGAGATATAGCGGGTAAGCTGCAAGGAGTCAAATCCTGGGTATACACCAATGTGGTCAAATAACCACACATACCAAGCAAGTTTCGAATGCAATAACCATTAGGGAATTCGGGCTTTTTATCGCCTATTCCGCTGAGGGGAAACCAGTGCACAGGCTAGGCTTCTATCGGTTTCATAAAATTTTGGGCACATTGACCAGTGGGGACAAAATTCACTCAAACCGTTATCCCATATCTCTCCTGAGGCATGTTCCCGAGGTCTCTACTAAGTGGAGAAACGGATTCTCGCCGAGATAACGTTTGACAGAAAATTCTAAGGGGTACCCACATACGTGAAGATAAGACTAGCAGAGAGATTGGACAGACAATATGCCTGAGCTGAAACATAGACGATCCTCTCCGCATAAGCTTGACTGTTTTAGGTACCCGAACTAGTCCTAAATGGGTCAAGGTTTTAACGCTAATGCACGGCTACGCTATACTAAATATGGCTGGTTTACATGTGGGTCCTAGTCCAAAGTTCACTCTCGGGCCCTCTAGGCTCTAGGACTCATAGATTAGTATTGACTGATTTGGAGACCTATATAGGCAAGAGTAATCAATTGACGCAACTTGGCAATTGATATTGGTAAAAGAATGTTGCCAAATTTTGAAATCCCAATCGGCCATGATCTCGTAACATCATTGAGCTTCACCAGCCGGATATCCGTGAAAAGTTCCCCTCATGATATGGAGAAAGCTAAAATAAGAAGGACCTGAGCTTCTCCGCATATGTGATGTCATAATAAGGTATGGTGCGGAGAGAAATTCATTCAGAGATGATTTGCCATTGACTGAGAGTTACAACATGGGCATTCTGTTTTCCGCCAAGAACGTGGTGGGATACTCGAATAGTAGAGGGCTCCCCCCAATAAATGTGTCAGGATCTACCCATTTATAAAAAAATTCTACAATATCAAATCCTACGTGCATACCCGTATACCCAAACCATGTCATTGAAAGCACCTGTACTTCTTACCACCCAGGTTAATACTATGTACCTGGGGGTACATCTGCCCGTGTCCAACCTTAGACATGCTCATGGCCTGAAGGTCAAAAATTCCCAAATGACATTTTCTTGCTAATGCAAGGTTGACACGCTGGGTCACGCGCATGCTATATAGAAAGGGCGCTAGTTCGCATTAAGAAACCAAACCCTCCAAGCGTATTGTTGTTCCTTTTTTGGATTAGCGTGAAATGTGCGGGGTGAGCTACCTGGATAACCTCATCACCCAATCGGGAGGATATCAGAGATACGTTCCAAGGTTGCTTATCGGCAGGTGATCGGATCCCGGTTCATGCACCGTTCGAATTCTTTGATCGGGTTCTCATCCGATGCCCCGCTATCCCAGATGTTTTTCCCTCTCTTGACGAAACATACTCATCTTTGCTTTAAGTAGAATGGAAAGCACAGACATATTATCTTCTCCGCAAAAGAAAAGGCAGAATCCCAACAGGTGCCGACCAAAATCACGAGGGGGCTGCCAGAGGTGCAAGCAGCGGCGAGTAAGTCGAGGTGAAAGATACACAGTTTCTCCTTCTACGGGGGCCCTCTTGAATTCCAAATAATTAATACTTATTCAGCGCAGATGTGACGAGGCGAAGCCAAGTTGTCAGGAATGTACCAAGCGAGGACACACATGCCCCGGTTACCAAAAACAGACCTTGCAATGGCGATATGTTTATAAAGGTAGCGAAGAGGCAAACCAGCCAACACCACCAAATGAGTCTCCTGACACAGTCGCGACCGAATTTCCCGAATTTCCCGACGTGAACAATCCAACACAGGAGGGAAAAGACAATCTTCAGAATGAAACCCAGAACATCTGGGGTACGGCCTGCCCAAACCTCTTTGACCAGCTGCCGGATTTTGATGAGCCAACAGATGCCTGGTTCTACACCGAGCTGGGGTCTAATGGTACGGTTTCGGCAAAGCCTGAGGGCGAGCTGGATGGGTTGTCGATTTTACGTCAACGACTGGCCAACACATCTGTCCCCTCCTTTCTCATCCAACTGCCAGTGATGTTGGTGCAATATTACTTCCATACAGTTTGTAACCAATGGTCATCTTTTGACTGTCCTCTCAATCCTTTCCGAACCATTGTCAGCCGGCTCTGGAGTCGGAATGCGTCGATTTACTTTGCTATCCAGAGCATGTCCGCTGCCTCGTTGGCCAACGATTTTCCAACCATGCGAGCCATCGGAATACAGACACAACAGCAAGCAATTGCGTGCCTGAATCACAGTGTCCAAAGAGGATCCACTCAGACAAAGGATGATGAGTACTTTCTGGCACTTCTTATGATTGGATCCACTACTGGATGGCACGATGCTTCCGATTTGGGGCTTCCATATCTGAGAGCGGCCCAAGACCATCTTCTGAGGCAGGAACGCCAGTGCAAGAATGCAAACTCTGCCCTCGCAAAACAACATCCACTTTTCAAACAGTGTCTCCTTTGGTGGAACTTACTAGCTGCCTTTGTGGCAGAGGAGTCGCCCATTCTAGACATAGAAAGTTCCACAGAAAACAGTGACGCAGAAAACAGCGACACAGATCTTTCGATCTATCTTGTCGATGGGGAGGTTCTACCGCATCCCTGGACAGGGTCTCTCCGTTACTCGTTGAGTCTCTTCTATCGAACTGCAAGAGTGATTCGAGCTGCAAGAACCTTCCACCGCCGAAGACCACAGGCTTTGGATCCCACCTTAATTGACATGAGCTATATGGCTGAAGAGCTCGATCTCAGACAGAAAGCTGAATATCTCGAGGACAGAATTCTGTTTACTGGCTTCTCATTCTACTGTGGGCCTGTCGATATCGGTGATACAAACACCCCACCGTCGCATTTTCTTACGTTAGCCGAGGCTTATCGCTGTACGGCACTGTTGCAAATTTACCATGTCTTCCCGGACATTCTTGAAGAGCGGCTACGAAGTAATCAAGCCGCGGACAGCGAACGTCCTATACCGGCCCTCTTTTTGTTATTATTCCCGATTCCCGCCGAATGGTCATCGCGTTCGGTGGAAGACACACGACACACCCTGGCACTGCACATTGTATCCCTCTTGGAGCAGCTTCCTCCAACATCTGGAACGAAGGTTATGCAGCCCATAGTTTTGGCTTGCGTCTCTAGCGATCTTGTTTTCTCGTCTGGGTCTGTGCTGGGCGCTGCACAAAACACGATCCCCAGTCTGAATACGTTGGATGTTGATATTGCCCAGGCCAGACGAAAGGTTAAAATGCGGTTGTCTGAACTTATATTAATCCTACCAAAGCTGCCAATGCAACGCATATATAACGTTGTGCATGAGACCTGGGACCGTGCGGATTCTGGTTTAGAAGAGTTCTGGCTGGATGTCATGCTGGATTTGAATTTGGAAACTATTATGGGATAGTCAGTGCTTTATCCGGAGTCCCTCCCCTGGTCAATGTCTCTGTACGTCCATCAGCCCCTTGAACTTGAATCCACTCGATGAAATCTGCCTTCAGGAAATGCTCTAATTCCGTAGACTCTCCCATAAATGCCACTATCATAGGCGTATTAATTTTATGTTAGTATCCATTTCGCTGTTTTTCTACCACTAGACAATCATTCGATTTACGTTGTAGAGTTCTCTTCGATTTAAGGTGTGGCCTCAGGCCATGACTGATGCCTAGGTCCTTTGGTGACAGCCCATTCCATACCCTGGATGGCTCCCTTCTGTTCACTTTCCATAGCCAACCCATCTTGCGGGCTGTCTCTTCATTTTCGTCTACTTTTACTAGCGAGAATCTCTAGCACACTCCATCCTCACTCCATCCTCACGCTTTCGCTCGAATCGACAGATGTTATCGCCCATTCACATATTTGCCCTAGACCGATGCCGCAGTAGGCGGCAGCTAAGATGGGAAAGCCCCACCCGGCAGAGGAAATATGTTACGTATGTGGATTACGTGGTTGATATGACTGTATGAGTTGAGCTGGATTTAGCCCTAATTTCGTGTCGATCTAGTTATGGATCCTTCTAACTTGCTTACATACGCGAATTCCCCTTATAGTTAACTAAACACCGCAAAGTATGTCACTTATATCTCCCCTCATTTCCCCAATCCTGTTCTCAAGTCTTTTTACTCTTCAAATACCCCAAAGGCCCAATCAGTTATGGAGGAGGGGAGCACCTGGCAGCAAGTGCGTACCTACGCTGACCATCTCGGTCATCGCGTAGTGCTTGAGGAGTACATGGTGCCAGACCCAGAACCCGGCCACCTGGTTCCTATCCAGGTTTATAGCCTTGTCCCCCTGGATGATGACCACGAAAAGCTACGGGAATACCTGATGCAAACTTTCTGCAATGATGAGGTCCTGCCTATGTTTGAGATTTATTCATACCGCCCGCCCGACGCCTTCGCCTGTATTGAACATAACCGCTTTGAAATCGCTCGCCGTAAGCAGCAACACCGGTCAGGGGTTGAAAATGCACCCCCGCTGATTCCGAAATTTACCGGTTGTTCCGATAAGTCGATTCCTATAGGGTTTTGTGTCCTAGTCCGGTCGCATAGCTATCGACTGGGCGAAACCGACTCAGATGAGCTTGCTGAGGCGGGTGAAGGCCCAGATATGCTCTACTTTAACCGCTCGTTTTCCAGCACGCGCAGTGATGTTGATGAGACGCAACGTTCAGATGAGTACGGTAATCCCTCGCCAGAAGCATTTGAGTTAGCCACCGAGCGCATCAAGAATCAGAATGACGTCGGGGATATTGTCGTACTTAATATGTTTGGTAACGTCGGTCGCGCCGGGGCGACGCGAGACGCCTTAGACATAGACGAGGGTGAGCCTCCTAGCTCGGATATGTTATCAGAAGAGCAAATCCGCGGCCAACTTAGCCAGGAAAGTGCAGTTAGCGGCTTCTCTCTTGATCCCGCATACCGGGTTACTCGGGATTCCGATGTTATAACGATCAGCAATACCCCTAAGGGAAACCTCTCTGATATTCAATACATTATCCATGCGCTTTTTCTCGGCTCTATCCGCGATATAGCAGGGTCCACCCTTTTAGAAAGCACAGCGCGCCTCTTCACAGCATCGATTGTCTCTCGCCTCCCGGCCAATAAAACCATCACGTTTAAGTTCTTTATCCCAAAGTCCCCTACTTGGGCGGCTATCCGCCCCGCTCAAAGTGAAGTTATTGAAGTTCTATCCTCTCAACCAACCCACGAAGAGAACCGAGAAGATCCCTTCCTAATCGGCGCCCTACACACCTTCTATGCGGGCAACGAACAATCCCCTATAACATGCCGCATGACGCCTCAACGCAGCGACGCGTATTTATCCCGGACAGAAAACCAGTCCTGGACCCCATATCGTCTGTTCACAGTTGTGCTCGATCGCGCCAAGTTTGTGTCCGAGGCTGGAATTTATTTCTATAAGGCGTACTGGGATTCGACTACAGATCTGGACCCCTACGCAGAGGATGCTCCCCATGATACGGACGTTGTGCGTGGCGTGGACTTGAGTACGACTGCCGGACGGTTGGGGCTGGTGGTTTTTGACAGGTAACTTGGTTTTGTTAGATGTTTGCAATATGTCTTAAGCAGTTTTACCATTTTATGATTGTTTTTTGAGTAAACCAGGTTATGATACTAGTAAGTAAACTAGTAAGCTATATGCATGAATTTAGAATTTAATCAATTCAACAAGAGAAAACGACGCATATGCCAGGAATAATATAAAAGTTTTAAAAGTAAAAAGGTGACGGTCACATTATCACCTCGGGAACTTGAAGTGATCAGCTCCCGGAGCCCAGCCTGAATTACTTGGTCCTCCTGCCATCCAGAGTGCTCCGTGAGTGCAGTCAAAACCCGCTAATTGGAAATAATAACGTTTTCCAAGCATGTTCCAATTAGGGAGATTTCCAACTAGGTCGCTTGCTTTCTTGTTTCAAACCAATGCGCTGACATTTTTGGGCTGTCGGTCCTTACGTCTGACTTGCTATCATTTTCCTTTCAGTGAATCAATGCCGCTAGGCAGCCAGCTTTGACCGAAAATGGACTTGTGGAATAACAGGGATTTCGGTTTGGGGGACGAAATTGAAGGGGCACGGCAATGAGTACAGAATAGAGGCGACGGGGAGAGTTGGAGAATTACCAAGTGTTAGCATGCAGATATATATATCTCATATACACAAACGTAGGTGTATCTTTCTATTGAAGTATACCCAGGTGACATTTTTCATAGTTAACTTCATGTTTTGTAGGTCTATAGCAATGAATCTGACATCAAAAGATAGCTGATCTTTTACTCTCGGCGTCTGTCCTTATACAAATGAGATATCCTCGCTATTCCGGAGGTGAGATAGGTTTAAAGATATCTTATGAGCCAGAGGGTGAAATGTTTTGGGCGAATACACGATTGTGTAAGCTCAATCTCTCGCAATCGGGCATATTTGAGTGCCCAGCCCATGACTTATGCTTATCCGCAGCTCGTCTCCAGGCTGGAGAAACTGTGGTGGGCTCTGTGAGATGCCAATGCCACAAGGCGTTCCGGTGATGATGACGGTCCCGGGCAGTAATGTGTGGCCCTAATACTTAGCGTCAGCTCTATTTGCTTCAAATGAATAGGGTGGCTTTATACCTGAGAAAGATAGGACACAATTTCTGGTATGCTGAAGATCATGTCATCGGCGGATCCGTTCTGCATGATCTTTCCATTGAGACGGGTCTTTAAATTCAAAACAGAGGCATCGGGGATTTGTTCTGTGGATACGATACATGGGCCGAGTGGGCAAAATCCATCCTAATAGAGGTTAGTATCGAAGGTCATCTTGGGTGTTGACTATATCGGCATACCATTCCCTTTGCATAAGACCACTGTGATGTCTTATCTTGATGTTTGCGGGCCGTCACGTCATTGGCCACTGCATACCCCAGAACGTAGTCGGCTGCTTTATCCAGCGAAACATTCTTGCACTGTCTGCCGATGACTATCGCCAACTCAACTTCATAGTCTGCTTCATCGTAATCCACATTGGAGGGAAGTGTAATCGGTTCGGAGGCAGATGCAATGCATGTGCTGGCCTTTAGAAAAACACTACATGATATCAGCAACTGTCAGAAGCAAAAGCAGATATACTAACGTTGGTGTATTTGGAAGAGCCAACTTCATCTCTGCTGCGTGCTCCTTGTAGTTTAGGCCGACGCATCGAACAGTCCCAGCTTCGATTTGCGAGACTGGAGATAGCAGTTCATCAATGGTTTTGATTTCACCCGTGAATGAAGCATCATAATCAAATGCCGAGTTACCAGCCACGACTTTGACTGAGACTTCGACATTCTTTTCTAAAGCCTGACCCACTATAAGTCTGTCAGTGGATTGAATTTTGGTGAACTTTGGTAAACTTGAGTATGCCATACCATCAATATCCGGATTCACCGGCTCACCACCATATATTTTACCATCTGCTGCTCTGAAGCGAACCCAGCGTTTCCAAACCTGTAATACATTAGATTACTCCAACATGTTCTTAGCGAAGCACCTACCGGATGTTTTGGGATACCATTGAGCTCCATTCCATTCGCACTTGAAATTCCCATTTTGAATGATAGTGACATGAAAAGATTTTCGGATAAAAAGTGCGAGTATACTTTGTTCTACTTATCAATAGCAAGATCCTGTCGGGAAATTCATCGAGAAATTCATCGGGAAATTCATAGATAAGCTAAGCTGAGGTTTGTATTTGCCGATGCCAAGACAAAAGATGCGGGGAAACTAGGGTCAAAAGATACTGATCAGCTGATCCTACATAGCGATGTGTATAGAAACATCCAAGGCACTTGAAATGGCAATTATTTAGGGGGAGATATATATCACCTACTATGTTAGCACTATGTCAGTACTATGCTATAGTTTTAAGCTTAAAATGCCCCTAGAGGCCGAGCTAATGCACGAAACCCCTTCCCTTAGCTTATCTCTTGCAACACAAAATTTAATTGGTCACGGCCACTTGAGAATCTTCGGGAAATCCTTCGCACATTCGCCAAGTTCTTGAATAAACCGAAGGATTTCCCGATGATAACGCCTGGAATAATTAACTTCGATGGATATATAAGAACCCATGGGGATGGATGGATCCCAGTTGTTAAGATAAATTTACATATTCAAAATGAAGGAGGCAGATATCAAACAAATCGACTTATCATCGGATCACGAAGTTCAGATGGGCAATTTCGTAGTTGATCCTGTCCGAGAGAAAAAGTTACTATGGAAGCTTGATCTTTACATTTGTCCTTTGGTGATGCTCATTTTCTTGGTTGCATATCTTGATCGAAGCAACTTGGGGTAAGGATTTCCATCCACACAGCAAGGATTCCCATCGCTAACTCCTGGCTAGAAATGCAGCTGTTGCTGGAATGCCGGTAAAGTCGAGTCCACGTTGTGTGAAACAGCGGGTTACTAACTTGGCTCTTACAGGAAGATATTGGTCTAGTTGGAAATGAACTAGGAAGTGAGATTAGCCTCGTCCAATATTCGAACCCATGGCTAACAATACCCAGATGCCGTGTCTTTGTTCTATGCCACCTACGTCTTCTTTGAGATCCCATTCTCTATGGTCCTCAAGAAATTACGCCCCAACAGACTCATTGCTGCGTTGATCCTTGGCTTCAGTGTATCCATTTTGGCTGCTGGATTCATCAAGAATGTTGCCGGGCTTTATACCACCAGACTGTTTCTCGGTGTCTTTGAGAGTGGCCTATTTCCGTAAGACTATCGGCTACCTTGATGGAAACCCCTAGATAGAGGCTAACTATTTTGCAGTTGTCTGACTGTCCTCCTGACTACCTTTTACAAGCGCGAGGAACAAGCACAGAGAATTTCCTATTTATTCGTGTCTGCTGCTCTGAGTGGAGGCTTTGGCGGATTGTATGTGCAACTCTCCCTATTCTATCAAACAAATCCGAACAACGGTGGCTAATATGGATTTTTAGACTCGCGTTCGGACTAATTCGCCTGGACGGTGCCGCCGGTCTTGAAGGTTGGAGGTGGCTTTTCATTGTGGAGGGCATCATGAGCGCGGTCATCGGTATTGCCACGTTCTTCCTCCTTCCAAACAACTTTGAAACTGCCTACTTCTTGAATGAAGAAGATAAAGAGCTGATGCGCATGCGCATGCAACAGTCAGCACGGTACGCTGATACTGAAGAATTCGATATGGCGGAAGTATGGAAAACACTGAAAGATCCCAAGAGCTGGCTCACTTCGTTCAACCAAATCTGTGTCAACACTTGTTCCTTCGGGTTTAGTACCTTCCTGCCTACTATTATCCGAGGGTTTGGGTTTGATTCGGTCAAGACCCAACTCCTCACCGTTCCCGTGTACATCTGGGCCTCCGCGTTTTACCTGGTCATTGCCAATTTGTCTGACCGAGTGCGCATGCGAGCTGCCTTCATGGTCCCGCTGTGTTTGGTGACAGCCGTTGGCTATGCTATGCTACTGGGAGTGGATGTCCATGCGAGAGGTCCATTATATTTTGCGACATACGTGTGTGTTACTGGGTATGTATCTTCCGTTGGGGTATCTATTGAGCGATTGCTAACCTTTCGCTGTTAGTATTTATGCTGTAGTTGGTCTAGGAGTGAGTTGGAATGCCAACAGCCATTCTGGTTATTACAAGCGTGCCATGGGAGTGGGCCTCCAGCAGACTATCGGAAATTGCGCCGGTTTGATTGTGAGTGGAATATCATATTAACGTGCTCGTTCTCTGACAGCTCAAGCTAACATAACCCAAGGCTGGTCAAATCTATAAGTCACCCATAAATGGACGATATGTGGTCGGTCATTCAGTTTCCCTTGCTACTATCTGTCTTGCATTCTTTGGTAATGCTGGCATGTGGGCTTTGCTCCGATACCACAATAAGAAGCGAGACCAATTATCAGCGGAGGAGAGAGAGCGTATTGTCAGCTCAGGATCATACGAAAAGAAGGGCGGAGATTTCCATCCGGACTTCCGCTATATCCTGTGAATGTTACATATTTCATACCAAACCTTCAGATCAAATCATATAATGGGCAGGATATATCACCTAAAGCTGTCGACAATACTACAAGAATTGTTGGCCGCTTATATGGCCTTGTTAGGTCATTTTAGTAGTCACTTTAGTGGTCGTTTTGGATGTAATCTTGTTTGGGATGTTTCTTTCCTTGGCAAGTACCTTATAATTTAGTTTATGAGGCATGCAAGTCTGGTCTTTCTAGGTGGTCTGTTTTGTGGTCTCGGGTACTCTTTTTACATGTCTTTCCCCTTAGTTACTGCCTACAGTTTCTTCACAGAACTGATTTGAATTTTTGCATTGGCAATACATACACAGAAACGAAAACACCGTGCCACCTTCCCAATGACAATAGCCCGAAAGCATAACCGCGAACGCCATATTCTCCACAAAAGGGGATACCCGAACAAGCACGAAAGATATTCCGGAAGGGGAGGGTCCGGAGACCCTCAAAAATGTTGGTAGATACAAATCAAGAATGAAAATGTTGGTTCGTTGACACTGCAGAAGAGCATTACTGCAGCGTGGGCTGAACTGCCATAGTCCAGAATGTGGAAAAAGGCAGTAACAAAAGCCGGGTACTAGGTTTATCATAAGGCTGAAAAGAAAAGAAAAAAGAAACAATTCGTCAGAGACGCGGCTCAACGCGCTAGGCATGTGCCCATCAGATCATTGCATGTCTAGGCCTGTCCCTTCGGCTTTGAAAGCATGTTGAGGCGGCTCATGCTGAGAACACCACGACTCTTCTGCTTGCTAGCAGGAGTACCAATTTTGCCAGAAGGACGCACAGGAGTCTTGGTAAGACGTTTCTTCACCGGGCTCGGGGTAGGCGGATTGGACTTGAACCTCTTGGTGCTGCGCTCATTGGACTGCGCGTCAGTAGGCGGCAGATTCTCGGTGTTTGTAGTTTTAGGAGCATCCTCATCGTTGACTTCATCGCGGTGCCTCTTTTTATTGGAAATGCCATGAGCGATGCCATGGGCCACCACAGGAAGCTCCCGATATGGAGCGGGCTGTTCACCGGCATCCGATTTGCGAACATGACGAATGGACTTGAATCCTGAGGTAGGGGTATTGGAAGGCAAGGCAGCCGAGTTCTTCTCGGGAGTGAGAGCCGGCAGAGTGGGATAGGCCACATCTCCGGTCATGGAACGACGCTGAGCGGAGGGTGCCTTGGAAGGAGAAGGCGAGGCGACAGCAAGTTCATGACGGGATTTGACACTCGGAGTGAATTCAACGTGCTTCTTCGGTGAAGGGGTGGGAGCCGAGTCGCTCATATCACCAGCTCCTCCAAAGAGTGAAGTGGGATTGAAATCAGGCGCCGCAACGTGGGTTCCAGACGCAATTTTGGCGGGGTCGCGGGAAAAGAGTGGCTGGCGCCGACGAAGAATAGATCTAAGGCTACCAAGGGTAGGTGGTTTGCTTTTGAGGCGTGGGTTGAACTCAGTGCGAGGAGTTCGAGGTGAGGCCATGGTTTTGGCAGCCGGGGAGAATTTCAAGGATGGAATCATCGAGGTCTTCGGCGCCTTGATGCTGGTAGAGGTCGTACGAGCAAGCGAAGCATGTGTAGGAGTCATGAGGGAACTGCGAACGCCTGTGCGAGGGCGAGGGCGAGGACCTGCGGGACGGCGAGGAGTTTCGACCTTCTGTGTTTGATCCTTCTGTGATTCATGACGGGTAGATGTATCTTCGCTTCGATTGTGCTTGGCACGCTTAGCGGCTGTAGCGGCTGTGGGAGTCGACAGATTTGTGGTTTTGGTAGCAGAGCGAGAAGGTGACGAGTTCTGGCTCTCTGGTTCGTCAAGCTGCGCCTTGGACTTGGACCGCTTCAAGGACTTAGTAACAGGCTGGAAGCGACCGGGAGTAGCACGGAAAGATGAAGCGTGCCCAGCAATGGAGTCCATCTTTCTGAATTCGGCCATGTGGATATCGCTGAAGCGATTGGCCTTGCCCTTTGGCATGGCGATCTTCCGGTCTCCCTGAATTTGTTCGGCTTCGTGATCTTCACGCTCTTGTTTTGAGTCGCCCTGGACCATTTGCGCCTTGATCCGAGCAGCATCGGCACGAACGCTTTCCATGAGCAGTTTGGCCTCGTCGCTGAGTTCCGTCTCGTGGGAGTGAAACTTGTATTCGAATCCTGGGGTCCCAAACTGGTCTGTCGCGGGAGAGGCCTTGGATTTAGTCGGGGTGTTGTCACTGATGCTGTGCTTGACTATATTGCCATTGGCATCTTTCTTGATAGGATTGAATCCAAGGAGGAGGCCTGAATCTGCGTGCTTAGTTGTGCTCTGTTGCGCCTTGCTGGGGTGCATTTCTTCGCGGGACGGACGAGCCGCAGTCACACTTGTGGGTGTCCTCATGCTATCGCGTTTTTGCTGAGCAGACGCGCGAGGGGTTTTTCGAGAAGGAGTTTTCGCAAGGGGGGTTTGGATGTGTGGGAGTTCGGAGCTGTCAGTTTCCTCGCGCTCGACAACAGAGGGAAGTTTGGAAGCTGTGATTGGCTGAGGGGCCATGTCTTCAACCTGAGCGAAACAATGGAAGTTAGTTTACCCTGATTTCAACGGTTGTCAGGACGTCCCACAACAGGCGATGTTACTATGCTACTCACATCTGGGGAATTCTGGGCGCGGCGAATGCGCGCGGAACGGCGGATCGCCATGACTAAAGACGCAAATGCAAGGAATCAATAGATAAAAGTAGAGTCCAATAGCTTGAAGAAGCAGGGGTAAATGGGTTGAGACAGGGTGTGGGGAGATATCAAAGTCGAAGCGAGCCCAAAATGTAAACAACGCGCTTGACGTCAGATGACTAAGCATAAACGTAGGCAGGGCTTTCATACTTCGATTCTTTTATATTCACATTTTCGAATTTACCATTTCCCTACGTTATATCAATCAAACTCAAACCAAATATAGATCCAAATGTTATTCCAGTGGGAAATAAATAGGAAATAAAGTCCTTGGTAGCGAGCACCTTAGGCCTGATCCCTAAGGCCAATACCTCAGGTTAATTTTAACCTCAGGTCACTCCCTTTTTGTTTCTACAATTCAACAACTCCTGACTACTCACTGCTTGGGACTGCATAAAACAATGAACACCAATGGAAGAAAGAGAAGCAATGTGGCGCTCGACTCTCGTCCTAGAGTGAGACGGGGGAGAAAAACAACTTCCTGTTCCCAATGCCATGCCAGGAAGCAGAAATGTAACAGAGAACTGCCTTGTTCTCGCTGTATCCAGCGTGGTGTTCCTCAACTATGTCAATGGCCGGAAAATGAGAAGGGCCATGCGACGCTACCGGAAAGAGTGAGCACGGCAGGTACCGGATATCCCTGCTGTCAAAACATAGATCATGGCTAACGGTGAAGTCTTATAGCGGATACCCAGGGCACAGAGTTGGGGCAGTTGTATATTGCCCGGGGAGCACCTAGCTTCTTCGGTAATTCATACTTTGGCCACCAGGTGGCAGCGCGTATGATTCAGGAGTCAGCTCCCGATCTACCCCCTATGAGCTTGCTGTCTAGCAAGGATTCTTTGCAATCATTTCGAAATGACTCTGGGCCCTTTTCGCAAGTTTGGGATTTACTTGGCCTATTGCCGCGGAATAAAGTGACTGTTGATCGGCTAATCGAAAAATTCCTGACCGAGATCAACTGGGCGATTGATACAGTTCACCCCAACACCTTCAGATCTCAATTTGCAGAATTCTGGGGCCGAAAATTTGGATTCGACGAAATCGCTGGAGTAGATCTTCGCTGGCTTGCTCTTCTGTTCATTATTCTTGCTTTTAGCGTGCTCTTGGACAGTCCTACGACCTCTTCGCCCGAAAAGCGGAAAGAAAGCGAAGAAGCTTCTCTTCGTTTCTACTGGGCTGCCAGGCGAGCGATTGTTATCTCACCCTCTTTTCATGGCGAGAGCTTAGATCTTGTCAGAGCAGGTTTGATGGTTACACGATACCTGCTATACACTAGACAAACTGCAGAGAGCTGGCTCACCATCAGCTTTGCCATGCGCATGGCCCAGGCACAAGGCATGCATATAGATGGAGAAAAATGGGGGTTGTCGAGAAAAGCCACCGAAACCAGAAGACGCCTTTGGAGCAACCTGTACTTGCTTGACAAGACTATTGCTCTCGCTCTCGGCAGACCATACGCTATCTCGGATCATATGTGTCTTATCAAAGCACCTGAAAATGTATGGCTGGATGGATTGACTGATGAAGAGTCTTCTATTGCTACAACCCATCCATTGAGCTATCCCACAATGAGCACAGTCGCACTCCTAGGCAGTGGCCTAGGGAAAATTGCAGGCGAAATCCAAGACCGGTGCTTTGGTTTATATCCTGCATCGTACGATATGGTAATCGAGATGGACAACAAGCTTGTTGCATGGAAAGAGCAACTCCCATCCTACTTTGCCGTGGAAGACCCCAACCTCTCATTGGATGAGTCGCATACATTTTTACCTTGGCATCGTCTCTATTTGCACTCTGCTTTCCACTTTGCCAGAATCACTCTGCACCGACCTTATCTTCTGCGCGAGTCCATGACCAATCGCTTCAGCCTTAGTCACGAGGCATGCATCTCCTCAGCATCTTCCGATCTGAAAATCAGATTGAAGTCCTTGAACTATGGGACATCAGAGAATATGAGATGGACGCTAGGCACCCACAACATGTTCAATAGCGCCTTCATCCTGGGTATAATCGCTGTGCGGCGACCAATTGCTCCTCAAACTGCGGCAATCTTGAACGATCTTGAGAAATATTGTGAAAGGCTACGGAAGGATGTTTGGCTAAACGAGTTTGGTCTTGCGGAGGTCAAAGTAGTAGAGTTGTGTATAATCCGTACTACTGGACTCGCCCAAGCCACCGACCAGCCGGATGACCAGGTCCCAATGAGTCCGCCTGAAATATTACCAGACTTTATGACACAAGAGCGCGAAAGGAATCCAATGATGTCAACAGTCATGAACATTGAGTCTATTGCGGGTGCATCGCCCAGCCAGCCACCTGGTTCTTCGCCCGACATGATGTGGCCCGCAGTCTGGGAAGACCAAAACTTTGCATTTCCACAAGCTGCTGATCTGGAAACCTGGGAGCAAATGATCTCCGAAATTGCATATCACACTTAAGATATGAAATCCTCTAGGGTCATTTTCGTCGGTTGTACAAGAACCTGTTGGTCTATATTCTTGGCATATACTGTGGACCTTTTGACGACGGTCTAAATTGCATGACTCACCATCTCATCAACCGTCAACTGCCTCGCTCCCATGTACTGCAATGGATCGCAGAAAACAGCCAAGTGCCCCGGTGTTGCGACTCCAGTTAAAGCAGACATCTCCTCGGCACCTCCAGCAGCACCCAATTCTGCCCAATAAAAAGACCATCTAAAAAGACTATTAAAAACACCACAAGGCTGCATCTACTCTTATTTGGTTTATGAGAAGAAGAAAGAAAAAAGAGGATATCAAGGTTGTAGAAGGATTTGCTATGTACAACATACAGGAATTAGAATCTCCATCCATCGTGAGAAGAGATCAAGAAAGCTAGCAATACACGAAGGGTTCGAAGAAGAATAGAAAGAAGAACGAGCAGAAATCAGAGGGCCTTCCCAGCGGTAGAACAGATACTAAGTAAGCGATTATGCTCCAGTCCGTCGTGCAGACAAGAGCCTCCATGGTATAGGACGGAGAATGGTACAGTGGCATTAAGCATGACAATCATTTGGGGTTGTGAGGATATGGGGGAGTTTTCGGGGAGGGTTGGGTCGAAGAGGTGTGAAGATGTGAATAAAACGCAGGGGAACAGGAGATGGTAGATAAGTATGTGAGATGCAAGGAAAGTAAGGTAGACATCGAGGCTGGACTGGAGCAAGCTTCGAATCGGGGATGGGCGGCGCAGTATGTATCAGTTTTTCATGGTTTCCAGGAACGAATCCAGGTTATATTCTTCCTGGTACTGGCGGTCATCCCAGAGCTCGCCCAGGTCGTCTAGCCAGCCCTTTTTGCCCTTCTCCTTGACCTCGCCGTCAATATCGACCATGTCGACTTCGTTACCGGCTGTGTCGCTTGGCTTCTCGGCTGAGTCTGCCGTTTCGCCGAGATTGAACAGGTCAAGCAATTGGTCTGTGTCCATTGTTCCAAGCCCGGCGTTTTGCTGATTGACCACGGTGGAGGCAACATCGATCTTGAATCGTTGCAAGCTGTGGCGGGGTTCATGTTAGTCTCTGTACTGCGGAGTTCGTGTGGAATGATAATGACTTACTTCAGGATCTTCTCCTCCAGAGTACCTCGCGTGATCAGGCGGTACACGTTAACAACCTTCTTTTGGCCGATACGATGGGCACGGTCCATGGCCTGGATATCCTTCTGCGGGTTCCAGTCATGCTCCACGAAAATGACGGTGTCTGCACCCGTCAGGTTGAGACCCAATCCACCAACACTGGTGGTCAGGAGTAAGACGTCGTAGCTGGGATCGGTATTGAATCGGTTAACGATGTCCTGGCGCTTGGTTGCTTCCACGCCTCCATCCAAGCGAAGATATTGAACGGAGGGGAGGAGTTTCTTGAGGACATCGTTCTGCACAATATCCAGCATTTCCTTCATCTGACAGAACACAAGGGCTCGGTGGGGGCTGACATAGCTTGCGCCTGTATCCAGTTCACCCTCTGCTGTGTGGTCAAGGCCAATGCCGCAATCCACCAACAAATCTTTCAGGGCGTTTAGCTTGGGCGCATGAGAAAGATCTCTGATGTTTGAACGCTTGGCACTCAAGAATGATTGCACCTCGTTGTACTGCTTGTGGCCTTCCTTGACAACCAAGGCAGGAGAGTTACATAGACGTCGCATGTATTGAAGCGCCTGGAATATATGCTCTTTGTCGCCTCGGTCTGCGCTGCCCACCTTATCTGCCAACTCCTTCTGTTCCTTCTTGGAGAAGTCCTCGAACAGTTTCTTCTGCAGCTCACTCGGATCGCAGTAGTAGTTCTGGATAATCTTGGGAGGAAGGTCATTCAAGACTTCCTCTTTCAGACGACGGAGTAGGAATGGCAGGACCTGTTTGTGCAGTGCCTCGATTGCTAAAGCACCTGCCTCTTGTTCCTTGGAAGAGGATTTGCTGAAACGGCTCGCCGCAATGGGCTTAGCAAATCGATCCAAGAAGACCTTCTCTGTTCCCAAGAAACCGGGCATCAAAAAGTCAAACAGCGACCATAGTTCGAGGACGTTGTTCTGGATTGGAGTGCCAGACAAGATCAGACGGTGGTTGCTGGCTAACTTTTTAACTGAAGACGTGATCTTGGCCTTGGGGTTCTTGATAAGATGGCCCTCATCGAGCACACAGTAGTTGAAGTTGATAGGGGAGAGAATATCGTTGTCATTGCGGCAAACATCGTAGGAAGTTACAATGACATCTGTGGTGGCCAGTAGGGGTTGAAGTCTCGACCGTTCCGCGGGAGGGCCGACATATGCAATGCAACTGAGGAATGGAGCATACTGCTTGACTTCCTGCTGCCAATGTCCAGAGAGAGAAGGCGGACAAACAATCAAAGAAGGCAGTTTCCGAGAGTCTGTCGATTGACTCTTGGCGAACTCCTCTGCTCGCATATGGTGGTCACTTGCCACGATGCAAATGGTCTGCAGGGTCTTGCCAAGACCCATGTCGTCGCAAAGAATACCATGGAGGTTGTAGCGATTGAGGAAAGCAAGCCAATTGACACCATCTTGCTGGTAAGGTCGGAGCTCAGCCTTAATCGCGACTGGAATTTCGAATGGCTCGACCTTACGGACGTCCAGCATCTGAGACATGAACTTCCTTTCTCGGTCACGACCCTCCAGCAACTCTGCTGAAAAGCCAGGGGGATCGGGAATACCGGCCTCCAAGGGAACCAGTTTAACAAGGGTGGCGAATGATGTTGTTGCTAGAAGACGCACATCGTTGTCGGAGTCGCTCATTCGACCAAGGACAGGAACCACCAGGAAGATGACATAGGGGAGAATTCCATCTTCCATAACATGGATCAGATGATAGATGCACTCGATCGCGCCTTGGCGGTGATTGACATCCAGCCCGTTGTTGATGATGGGTAAAACCTTTTCAACAAGCATCGTCATGCCCTTGACGGTGATGACACTACAAATTGTAGCGAAACATTTGGCTGCTGCGTAGCGAATGACAGAAAGTCGGCACTGCAAACCCTTGGCGATAATCGGCATAAGGTCGACAACCCATTCGTGGAGACCCGGATGGAACTTAGGCAGCAGAGCCCGCAGTGTAGACAGACCATCCACAATTTCTTGGCCAAGTTCATTCTCTGGGTTGGTGATGTCCTCGGGGAGTTCATCCCCTGCCAAAGCATCTCTCAGTGGTCGTTCAACCAATTTTGCGAGATTCGGAACCTTCTCCAAAAGCTCAGCGCCAAACTTGACTGCCAACTGCTCCAGCGCATCCTTTGCACCACGACGCATAATCCGTGCCTCTCTTGCCTCTCTTTCGAATTTGGCCGCATCTGGATGGTCGCGTCGATCTTCTTCTTTGCGTAGCGACAAGATCGATTTCTCCAACTGGGCATTGTGCGGGAATTCGGGAGTCTCGGATGTGTCCACACAACAGTATTTGACCAAGTTTCCAATGATTTTGTCCACTGGTCCACGCTTCGTAGCGGCTGTGTAGTGTTCGATGAGGCCTGCCACTGCTGTCGCAGAGCGCTGCTGAAGTTCTACGTTCTCCTCTTTCTTGACACTGTCCATCATGCCCTTGATGATGTGACCAGGCTTCTTAGGGATATCCCGCAACGCGACCAGGGCACCAGCAGTAGCAGCTAGAACACGCATGTCCCGCTGTTCCCTCATCAGTCGCGCCTCCTCGACGGCGGATTGTGCAGTGGTACGAGTGTCGTTCAAGACTTGGGTAGCAGTGATTCGTTGGGCCGGTGTGAGGTTTTTCTTCAGTCGATCAAAGTCGGGACCAACAATTTTCTCGGCATCCGCCAGGGAAAATGCATTAGGTCCGGCTTCTGAGTCGCCCTGAACGACCACGGCCAAGGTTGGCAGCCGGGAAGGTGCCACATGCGCATGATCCCGGAAAGTATTTAACAATGAATGGCACTGGGAGCGCGCGACATGAAGGTAGCACGCAATGTCCGCATACCAGGATGGGCGCTCGCCTTCGAGAATTGGTCGAAGCCGGTCACATAAAGACGCGCGGTATTTGCTCTCTGGTCCGGATTGACGAGCATACTCTTCTATGACCATTGCCGAGGCAAGCTGCGTTGTGGAAGCAGAAACATTAAGACCATCCAGAATTGCCGGCCAAAGGCTTGGTAGTTCATTCTTGTCCCAGAAAGATACCAGTTCACCCAGCGCCTTCGCGGCGTAAATCTTGGATCTCAGCATGATATCTGCACCAACAAGGTCAATATCACCAGAAAGCATGTGTCCGTCCACGTTGTGGGCCGAGGGCGGAGGTGGCTCTTTCTCCTTCTTCTCTGACTTGCGCCTCCGTCCCACCTTGATCTCAGCCCCACCTGGAATGGAGGCAGGAGGAGATCCTTTGGAAGGGGTAGGGGCCGGAACAGCGGTAGAGAATGGTAGGCCAGACGGTTTGATAAAGAGCGAGGCGTTCATAGGGATGGGGTACCGGGGAACGCCGAAAGCGCCCAGAGTCAGAGTAACAAGAGGCTGGATTGATTCTGATAACTCCTCTGCGGATTTGAATGAACCGCGCAGCTGAACAACGTTGAGAAGTTCAGACCACACTTGGCCAGACAGTTTCAAAACACCCTCGTTGCGCTCCACGAGAAGATTTTGGAAAATCAACCGCAATGCCTTTCCATCTACCCAATCCGTGGTACCCTCGCCTTCCAGCTTCAGGAATGTCATAAGAGCCCGAAGGACAGCCGAGCGAACGCTGGTGATGGTATGACGGAGGAATGGGTAAAGGCGGGGGACAAGTTTGCCAAAGGACGCTTCCGGATCATCTGCAGCATTAGCCTTCATGGCATCCAGAACTTGAGAGAATGTGCACAGCTTGGCCAAAAGATCCATCACAGAGCCTGTACTGGCACTAAGATCGTCCTGCAGATTGGATAGACAGTCCCAAACGATGTTCATCAGAGGTCCAAGAGTGCCAGTCCGGGAGGACACAAACTCCTCTGCAATGGGAACAAGTGTAGCGGCGCTAACAGCCCGGACATCATCATCATAATCAGCGAGGCCTTTCATGACAGCTTCCAAAACACCATCCATCATGCTGGAATCCTTGACAAGTAAGTCCTTTCGAACTGCGACGAGGTACCGCAGCCCGATCATACCACCATGGCAGACCTCCCATACTGGGCGATCAAGTCCCAGGTCAGTCTGCATTATGATCCGGTATAGGCATCGGTAGACCGCCCGGACTGAGTTCGGGTGTAGGTGTGAGAGAAGAGCACCGAGAGTCTGGCCCACGGTTTCGCGAATTGGGGCAACCACGTTGTCTGAGATGTAATCACCAAACCGATCGAGCATCAGAACGCATAGTAGTCGACATGAGAGGTCATCCAGCCACCGGCGGTTGAGTGCATCGTTTTCCGAGCGACTTTTTCCATCCAGTCGGCCAGCTGCCACACCCTGGACCCTGATGACTTCCCGCAGGGCCATTGCAGCGCCATGTCGGACTTCCCAGTTAGAGTCAAAGATGTCCATGTTCAGGAATTCACACATGTGTTCCAGAGGCCATCCTGCACCCTGCTCCACGATCTCTGGCTGGATATGAGGTCGCTCTGGGATGGCAGCTCCTTTAAATTCAGTAACAAGCTTAGAGTCGTCATCTTCTTCAGTGCGTTCGAAGGAAAAGTAATCAGGTTTTGCCTCGCCGTTCTGATCGTCTCCGTTCTCTGCTTTGACCGGATGGGGAGTTGTGGCCGCAGGGGTTGTGACAATGTCGGACTGTCGACGGGAAGACAGATCCACGACACGGACTTTGTTGGCTCCCATCTTGGCATTTTGCTTGTTTTTCCGTTTGAGCTGATTGAGTTGTCGCTTGCTCAGCCCCTGGTCCTCCTTTGTCGCACCTTCAAGGGGCGAAGAGGGCTGGCGGGAGGGAACTTCATGCAGACTGTGACGAGAGATTGGCGGAATATTCGGTTCATGCTTTTGAGCAGGAGTTACCACTTTAGGAGCCAATTCGATATCCTCGATCAAGTCTTCTTCAAGGTATTCGCCTTCGAGACCCAGCCGCGAAGTCAAGGTCTTCTTTTGGTGCTGCAGGCGTGAAGCTGGTTCCATGGACGCGAGAGAATACTCATACTCTTTGCCCGCACTGCCGAGCAGCCGCTTACCGTACTTTAATACGGAAGGGATGTCCAAGGTGTCGAGTTTGAGGAAATCATCAGTCAGGATTGACTCTTCAGATTTGACTTCGGACTTAATCTCCACGTCATCTTCGTCTGCTGCAGACTTGATCTGGAGTCCATCATCCTCGTTTGGGTCATAAACCTCTGCATTAGACACAATCAGTCCAATAGCTTTGGCAGAAGCTGTCCTTGTATCCCAGGATTTAGATCTGAGATAAGGCAAGATGCGCCCGAGTAGGTTAAACAATTCATCTGGATGCTGTTTTTGCACATCTGCAAGCTGCTGAGCAGCAGTATTACGAATCAACTGAGTACTGCCCGTCTCGAGTAGCCTGTATTGTCATTGGTCAGTGGTCAGTCGTTTCACGTGATTTTACGTGATTTCACGCATTAGGTCGAGATACTCACGTGACGAGACGGTCGAGCCTAAACCGGGTTAGTTTTCATGTGACTGTCGCGTGGTGATTGGCTGAAGGGACTTACCGGGAAGCCATCGCGGGTCTTCACTTTTCTCCCGACTATGCGGCACAATTTGAATAAGGGAAAAAAAAGACAACACAAAGACAAGAGCAATTGCGCGCGACAAAGCGCGCAATTAGGGTGGAAGGACCTCGATATGAAAAACAAAGACCAAACGCCCAACACCTCAAGCCGCGATGCTGAGTCAGCGGGGGGATTTAGATTTAGTACACAAGAGCGAGGGTCGAGGTCACGCAGCCGGGTTTATATCATTGGGGGTGCTTCTGCCCGGCGCGCTGGTCCATGTTTGGGTCACTCCGCCTAGGCCGTTTGTGGTTTAGCGCGGGCGGTGGGCTTCCACTTACAGCGCGCTGATTTTTTTTTCTGCTGCTGAAATGATCACGTGAGTCCAAGAAACGCGTTGAATGACATAGAGCATTTAGATTGATCAAAAATACCTAGCTCAATTATTGAAGTTGTTGTGATGGAGAGGATTTCCGTGAACGATTTAAGTAAAGGGTTATTTAAGATTTCGTTCACAGCCTCTGAAGGAAGGGAGCAATGCCAAGACATGCCAGATGGCCTCTTCAAAGTTCAAGGTATCATGAATGATCAGCAATGCATGTACATTAATGTAGCTGATGGTTTTATGACCTTTGAAAGATATATGATCAAATCTTGATGCAAGAACTGATGCTTTTCTGTGCGCATATAAACGTATAGTGTGCGATTAAATTTTGTTGCTATCCAAATACATTGATCGACCTGCCGAAGTATATATATCCGCTATATAGATCCTCATATTCAACAATTATTTTTTCTTCCTATATTCGTTCCTTATTTTTTCCCTCAAGCCAATTATGCAAATTATGCCTACAAGCCTAGGCCTTTGTTATAAACAGCCAAAGGCTCATAGCAAAGTATAATTTCTTCAAGTATATAAAGAGAAAACCAGCGATACAAAGAGCCCCGGCATAAGCGGCTAGATGCGTCGGACTGGCAATTCGACCTGTTCCCCTGTGCCCAATCAAAATTCATACTTACTCGTCAATTAACTTCTGAGATCGGATCTATCTCGTCCTACATGGCAGCATCTGCCATTTCCGAAATCCATTATGGATCGAGCACATCGAAAATCAAGGATAAAGCACTGTTTGTCGTTGAATTGGAGTATCATTTAGCTCTGACAGGCCTGAAAGTCAACCAGTTGAGCGTTTCTATACAGTCACAGGCTCCGGGCAAAAGTCCCGGGGCAGAAACACGGAATCACACGCATTGAAAAAGAACAAGCACATCTTTCCCATTCACCGTTGGCTCAGCACATTAGCTGCCTCCTCTTCCTTCCCAAGTAGACCCAAGCTTCGGATTTGCTCGGCCTTGGGGGCGTTCTCTCGCGGGTGTGCCGCCTCGGCCTTGCGATAGGCAGCTTGCATCTTCATAGTGCGGAGAGCCTGTTCCAATTTCCCATCATTAGGCTCAGATCCATCATTTCAATTGTGCAGGTATCTCGATCGAAAGGGGATTGCCCTTACCTCTTTCCGGTGGTGAAGGCACTCGTAGTAGTCGTCCAGGGCGGGCACACACTTCTTCTTGCCGCTCGCACCATCGCCCGAGTTCACCACGTAGCAACCAAGAACCTCTTGCCAGAAGGGGTAGCAGCGGCCGGGACCTAGAAAAAAGCCATGGTGCGTTAGCCGGTTTCATTCGCGGGGGAGGGAACTGCGTCCGCAAGTTGTGATCCGAGGGCATGTCGGCGCGGACCCGAGCAGGTCCTTCGGGGATGGGGAAAGTGAGCACATACCACCGTTGTTACCGTAACCGGAAGCCATTTTTATGTGTAGAAGAAGAGGATTGAGGAAGTGGTAGGCACAGAGACCGCGAAAAAGGTGGTGATGAAGTGCCGGCGGATGCGACTCTTCCCTTTCGTTTCCGACTTGGTCTGTGCGCCCCGCCGTATGCAACATGACCATCACCAACTATGAGGCCACCTCACTCGACTGCCTCGTCTCTTTAGCTTGATCATGGCTCTCGAAGAGCTGTCCGATGCGCATGCTATTCTACTAGCTACACAACTCTGCGCAGATGGTAACGTGGCGGACTTGCCTATTCTACAGGCCCGGTTTCCCCATTGTTTTCCGTTGGAACGCCTCCTGCGCATCATCTTGACCTTTCTCCCAGAGAGCATAGAGCCCTCTCAGTACACATCTGTGCTAAAAGAGCTGACAAATAGCTCAAATCTGCCATCCGACCGACCGATCAATACATCTGCCATCCAGGACTTGTCCGAATCGGTCGCAAGGAAGCGCGTGCGGAAGCTTCATTTACGGCCACTGCAACGCCCTGACGAGGAAGATGAGATAGCTTCAGCAGATCCTTTGACCAAATTTCTTATCCACCGGGCACATCTGATTGACTCGGAAACAGCACTGCAGCCCATTATCCTTGAGCTCATCCTCCCGTTCTACGAGAACTCGCCAATCATTCGAACATGGCTAATATCGAGCCTATTACCATTGCTTCGACTGAACTATGAATTCTACCCCCATCGTGACGAAACTATATCTCTTGAGATCCTGGAGTCTATGGACGATCAGACCGCGGTCAACGTTCTCTTGTCTTTGATGAGCTCCGAAGAAAGCAACATGGACTTGGTCAACAACCTGAGGGGTCTGATTGGACCTTGGATCTATGGTGGTAATCGGTCAAAACGGCGAAGGCTTAATGAAGCAGCTCAGCAGAGTTCGCTTTCTTTCAGTGAAGGCTCCGAGAAACCTCGAGCAACCGAATTGGCGGGATGGGAACATGTGAACGAATGGCTACTGTCGCGGAGTCTTGTTGACCGAGACAGCGTTGTGAGCGCATTTACCCACTGGGATGGACCATCAGATGTGGATTTGGGGGGTTATGACAATGCTGGTACGCAATTGTCCGAAGAGAAGGCGAAATATTTACGGGTTCGATACTGCCAGTCTGGTCTTGCTGTGGTTTATGCTCATGCAGACTCATCGATGGCTGTGCTGGAGGGCTCGTTCCAGGTCTTGAAGAGGGTCGCGAAGCTCCTTGATCTTGAAGACTGCTTGTACCTCGCTTCTGATTCAGAACTGCCATATGTGCACTATGATACCGAGTCAATCTCCTCGACATCCCGCGCATCTCTATTGCAGAACTCCCTTTTGAGACCGACGAACCCTCTTACAAAACCATCGCCCCCATCGATTTCGTTTCTTAGCGCTTTACTACTCTCCCTTCGTATATTGACTGAACTTGGTCATCTGGTTCCCTGCCGGGTTGCGGCAAACATGTGCCTTCACAGCACTGAGGAAATGCAATTGGCTGAACTCAAAAGTGTGGTGACCTCTACTGTGAAGCAACCGAATTCAAACCAAGACTGGTCTGTGGTTCGACAACGATTGCTTTGGCTTCGAGATTGGCAGGCGGAACAGTCAGACAACGCCTGGGATGAACCTTCACCATACCATGGACTCTTCTGGCGGATCCCGCGCGACACGGTTGAAACGGAGATCTTGAAAGCGCTGCTGGCAGCTAAAGGTAATGCGGACCAAATTCACTGTTTTTGTCAATACTGATGTTGTTTCTAGAGTATCAATTGGCTATCGATATATACGCCAACTCTAAACTAGCACCACTTAATTCCGCCCAAGTGGAAGCTGCGGTCCAAGAGGCTATATTCACAGCGTATGATAATGCAAGCAACGGAAATCGAACCCGGGGCGGGATGAAGAGAGCATTCGACATGTAAGTGGTGCAACTAAAAGAGGATATATGAACTTGGTACTAAGAGTGATTTAGTTTACAATCATTCGAACCGCACTTCCCAGAGTCTGTTGTATTCAAACAGATCCACGCTCTCATTGCCGCAACACATGCACTCTCATACTACTCGCTGACCCTGCAACACGGTGTTCCATTTCAGCCCGTCAGCATTCGCGTCCATCACGATCCCATCCTCTTGATCGAGAAAGTGCTCGAGCAAAACGCAAAGAGCTACACCAAACTGGACGACCTTCTCTCCATTGGACGAAACCTAGTAGCTGCCGGCGTTCCCACGCAAGCGGCATCACACGAAGCTGAAGATGAGCCAACTCACCATAAACCCCCAAAGGAGTACGCCCTCCTCACCGCAGAACGGCGCATCACTTCACTAGCAATTGCCTCGGCTCTATCCTCCAACGACTTCGGCACAGCTTACTCCTACATCCTAACCCGACTAACACCCCCGTCCCTCCTCTCAACCTCCTCGCCCCTCTTAAACACCCCCCTGTCCCCGACGACATCACCTGGCGCGCCGTATATAACGCAGGTCGCTACCGTGCCACAACACCAACCCACCCACCGCCAACTCTCCAATCGCAAATCTCGCACCTCTCTCAGCGAATGGAACTCCTCTCCCTCGCTCTTGTCCTCGTCCCATCCCCAGACCCGCTCCCAGAAATCCTCGGCGCCTGGCGACGCTGCGACGAAGAACTTACCTCGCTGCGCGCGCAAGAGCAGCAAGAAGAAGACCTCTGGGACAGAAAAGGCGATACACTGACCTCCGTTCCGGGCGGGTTCGGACCCTCAGACTCAGAGCGCGATGCCTTTGACACGGAGCAGCAGCGCGCGGCGCGACGTACGCGTGCCGCAATGCCGAACTCTCATCGCCACGAGGCGCCCATGGGTCTATTTGAGGTTGCTCGTGGTGCGGCTTTGGCGCTGCATAAAAATGCTTTCCCACTGAGGGGTGCTGCTGATGGTTCTGCGCCGGTAGCTCCTCGGGATGATGATCGGCCGCTGTCGCCGGATAGTGAGGGCCGTGTTAGGAAGAGAGATGTGGTTAGCAATATGATGACTGGGGGCTTGGTTAGTGGGATTGGCTGGGTTCTTGGCGCTGATCCGGTGAGCAAGAAGTAAGGGAGGCGGGGGCGATATGGGTGGGGTTGGAATTCCTTACAGTTACTTCTGTGCTCGACGAGGATGCGTATCGAGACTTGGGCTCCGTGTAGCATTTACGATAACAATGAGACTTATTTTTCTTAGAAGCGCAAGGACTGGCTGTTAAAAAAAAATAGTTGTTGTAAAACCATAGCATGGTCAGTTGTATACATAAATGTAGGAAGCTGCCAAGTGTCCAGGGTTGATACAAATTTTCTACTAGACGTGGACGGTCTTAAATGGTCAAGTCCATACATGTACGTATACTAGTCTTGTACCCGTATACATAACAAGTCAAAGACAAGATGCAATGGTATTAAGTGCCTAAGTATGTCCCAAGGAAGTCTCCAAAGCATTGCAACACTCCCGCATCCAGTGCAAAGCGATAAATAGACCCAAAATATAACCCTAAAGCAGACTGAGACAGCGAGCTGTACATCAAAAACGAAAACTCGATGTACGAAGATGGAGGATATGTTCAGGCTCGGAATGTGAGAGAGAAGACAAAAGCAAAAGGAGAAAGAGCAGTCCATGATAAGGAGATGAGGGAAACAGCGAGAACCGAAGAGGGCGAAAAGGATCGAAGGGTATGCGATGCATGGAGAAAGTCAGGCCATCAAGGATCGTAGGAGGTGAAGCGTAGCCGATGAGATTCGTATCGAAGAAAAAAAGGGAAAAAAAAAGCATTTGCAGATGATAAGGGGGTATGAGAGTGATGTCGAGCCCCGCGAGTTCCGGCCCGGGGGAGCCAGCGGAAAGCACAAAACGCAGATGGATATGAAGTAGAGTCGTGAGAATATTGAGTTGTTGACAGCCAGGTCAATCCTTGGGGTCCAGCCACTCATACTCAAAAGAAATGCAGCAAAGCAGTAGGAGGAGCCTCAAAAGGGGTCCTTGGAAACTTGTTTACTCTTTCCAATCCCAAACCTGCCTTATAAAGTTCGTCATGTTAACCTTCTTGTTTCTCATATCCTGCACCCATGGATGTTCCAGCATCCGCCAGGGCGTCGCACGTCGAGGGGGTTCTTTTTCCAAGCTGGTGATCGTGTTAGTATAGAGAAATCAAATCACAAAGACAAAGTACATACCAGCATTCGATAAAGTATTTGAAGTTGTCCGACCAGCGAATGCCATTTTGTGGCTCATCCTTCAACTTGGGAATTGGCTGGCGGACGATATAGGTGAGAAGATCTATTAGCCCTGCACGGGGTTGCATCTCAGTCCCGTCGGCCGGGAAAGGGAATCGGTGCTGCGCGACTTCCAGCAAAGTCACGCCGAGAGACCAAACGTCAGATGTAATGGTGTATGATTGACCAGTAATGCGCTCTGGGGCCATATAGTAGGAAGTGCCAATGAAGGTGTTAGCGTCACCCTTGGTGCCGAATTCACCGCTGACACCAAAGTCGCAGAGTTTGACCTTGCCATCACGACACAGGAGAATGTTCGATGGTTTGATGTCTAGAAAACATTAGCCTCTCGTGGTCAATGCATACAGGGGTGGACAATGCTTCGTACCTCGATGGATGATCTTTCGGCTATGGAGATAGGTCAATCCATTCAAGACACCTTCTGCGACCTTGCCAAGGACCTTCTCTCCAGTGCGACCACCAAGCTTTTTGACCTCTTTGTAGATACTGTCCAGACTTCCACCTTCACAGAACTCCATGGCGATAGAGATGGTGCCAGTCGATTTATCCATGAAAGCACCATAGTAACGACAGATGTGGTGCGAGGCGCAGTCTTTGTTGAAGTTAAGCTCACGAACAATTTGTTTCTTGACATCAGGGTTGGGGTCGGTTGTAATGATCTAGGGTGGGATGTTAGCCTCTATTGCCGAGCGCAGGTACAAAGGTTGATCAGCCAAAGCGACGCACCTTCAATGCAAAAACGGTCTTTCCCTCCTTGAGTCGGCATCGGGTGACGGCTCCGCCAGCACCCTCTCCCAGACTCCCTAGTTCAACAATCATATTCTGTTCACTGGCCGCGTGCCAGCCTTCATCATCGAGATCATCCACATCGAGGGGCCGGCCCTTCTCTAGACTCAATTTATCCAGATCGGGAAGGAGGCCGTTCACGTTGTTTTCGCGGTCTCCATTCTCGCGATCCGAGTACACTGAACTGATGGCCGAGGACGGATCTGACGAGCCCTCCGGCTGTCGGAGGCCCATGGCGAAATTAATCGTTGAATATGAAGGGTTTGAAGAGGCCGGTCCATTGGTCTGGATTTGTAGACTGGGCGCACTTTTACCTCCACCTCCTAGGCCATTTGTACTCAGTGGGGGCGGGGCTGGTCGACCGTTCGGCATGAGGGTTGGCTGGGATACATTCTGCTGGCTGCCCATGGGAGTCGCAAGATGCAGTCGGGGTGGTGCTGGTCGACCCGACGGGCGAGGCTGGGGTTGGGGTTGGGTTTGGATTTGAGGTACTTGGGCGGGGGCAGCATTGCCGTTGACGGGTTTGGCGTTAGGTGAGGGGGGATGCCTAACGTGAGCTTCGGGGCTCGTGGGCTACCGTTATTGTTGCGAGCGCCAGGAACTGGCGGACGAAGAAGAGGGACAGGGGACGACATGGCGAGATTGTTTTGCCTTTCCCCAGGCAAGAACAACTCGTTCGGATCTGCGAGAGTAGCCACAGTGTCGACCTTGGACCAGTCCGCCTTGGGAAGTCCTGAGGGGGGAAATACGGATTGGAGTGAACCAAAGATGCAGTGAAAAGTAAAGCAGAAGCAAAAGCAAAAGCAAAAGCCAAAGATAGAAAGTAGAGGCAGAAGCAGAAGAGATAAGGTAGAGAACAAACGAGTGGAGTTGGAAGTTACCGAGAGATGCAGCAGGTGACCTGTTACTCCACTATATAAGAAATAAAGAGTCCTTCGTATTTAGTATATGTCAAGTAATTGTCTAATTGTCTAAATTGAAAACTCTTGATCTCTAGAGAATATTAATAGAGCGACACAGCCGACAACAGTCGGGCGGTGGTGGGGCCTGTTTCAGAAAGCGCCTGAACTGAAACACTTGTCTACAAGAATTATATCTGATTTTTGACAGTTCAGTTGATTTAGCCTATACATTTATTTCTTTTGCTTTGGGGGATATCAACAGAGAATTCTCCGAGTACCATGGTTCAAGTTTCCCCTTTTTTTTTTCAATTTTTATACTGTACATGTAGGTACAGATGTGTAGATATATGCATGTACGTATATATGTACAATGTACTTATATATGTAGTAGATCGATCTATCAACCTTGGAAATGTTGTAAACTTATGTTGCCTCAACTACTCACTGGGTAGGTAACCTGTGTCGACATTGCCAGATTGCCAACACACACAAGATCCCCCACTTTAAGACCTATCACAGGTCGTGTACTCCGTACCCTGTTGTACCTTGAGTAATTTTGTAAATTATATGTAATCTCCATTTATATCCAATATCTGATTGTATCCAATTATATCGCAATATATAAAAAAACTAGATTAACTTGTAGATACCTATGTCATTGAGGGGCTAATTCCAAGGCTAAGATTCTATTCGGAAAGATGTGGCTTAGCCTGTGGCCACCCGATGATGACATGGGCCCGGCAGCCCTAGCCGATCCACAGCATTTCAGTGTTGGTTTTTTCCCCCCGAAATTTGGTTAGAAAGATCGGTGATGGAGATACTGCCCTGGTATTTACTTAGAAGGCTGTGATCTAAATTAGACTTGATTCTGAGAGTTGGTGCCAAGTTCCATAGATGAGGTTAATCTGGATACCACAAATTGTCATTTAAGATAAGCGCCAAGGAAATATCGATGCAATTTTAGTCCCGATGAGGTCCAGGAAGCTGGAGAATGCAGATGTAGTAGTTGTTATATATACTACGTAGATGCGATCGGCACACAGTGGAATAGTTGATCTTCATTGATGCCGGGCCTGACAAATATGGAACGATATCATGAAATGTCCGACAAACCCGTGTACTTGTCCTCCAAAGCTTGGTTATACCAATACTCCCGATAGTGCAGTCCTAGTGATCACTCAATAGCGAACCGAGAGGTAACCGAGAATTTTGCTGTGAGATAAAATGGGAGACCTAGCCCAGCTCCGGTCCCACCGGCTCTCCAAGGATGACCACGCTGATAATAAAACCAATTAAAGGCCATGGCAATCATCGACCCATGATCACTGAGAGATTTGTAACGTCGCATTTGAAAGGCAGCGCGCGGAGCAGCCAATTCTTCCGAGCCTTTCAAAACAGGCTATATTGTATGAGCTCCCGCGGGTGTTTGTCTTGCATTACACGGTACCACCGAGCCCATCAAGTTGTACGAAAAAATTTGTCTGTATGTTGTGTATCTGGATTTCGTACGGAGTGGAGTGTTCGATGGGAATAAATCCAACAAGTCTATGTATTATTCTTCTCGGTGCCGCTCGCTTGTGTCATCAGCGCTAAAAAAATGACGTGTCGATGGTGATCGGTCGGGTTAGGTCACAGACAGGTGATTGTTGATGGCGATCACATAAAATCAGATTCTGCGTAGTTGGGTTATCGATGTGATGAAGTGGCAGGTGAGGACAGCCTTGCATGTTCAATTGATATTGGGTAGGCGCTAAGGACATCATCCTACAAGGTAGGCCTGTCAGTGCTTTGTGAGTGGGAACAAGCCCTATGGAATTTCTCATATCAGAGTTCCAGTTATTGAGCAGTAGAGAGTTAATTCAAGTGTAGGTTAATCACGAGTATTTTGACCGATGTGATATCCGTCTCTTGCTCATGGCGTAATGGTCAGGAGATGTGAAGAGGGAGGATATGCCCATAGACTCCCAGAATGCAGTACGAGCGGTAAGTCAAGGCGAAAGCTTCCCCTGAACAGAGATTCAGGGACCTCAAAGGAAGGGACATCCTACGCGATAGGCGAGGATGAACTTCGGCAAAAAGCCCACTCAAATCATAATCGCACGAACACCCCTATCACTGACGGCTCAACGTTGTGCTATATATAAAACACACTCCACCAATAATTATATCCCATAAAGCTAATTGTAGCTAAAGATAGTAAGATGAGTATGGGGTTGATAAGAGCACGACCATATAAAGTACGTTGGAATAGAATGGACTCGATCTATTGAAAAAAGGGCCACGAAACGCAAGAATTCAATAGCGGCATGTGGAGTCTGGGGGCGCCACGAGGCCTACGGAAATCGCTTTATGTGGACAACCCCTATAATGGAGTCGGCCCTATCATAGAGTCGGGACAAGGAATTCAAAGGTATAAACCCGGGCGAAACGTTTATTGACTATGCAACATACATCGGTCGAACCGCTTGGAGAGTCTGATCCAGGGTCTCGGCTCAGGAACAGGATGAAGATCAACACGCCTTGACGCTCCAAGTTCCAACCACATTGTCCGTACCTATTTCAGGGTACGTACAATATATAAAAATGTAAGCAGATACAGAAAGTAAAATCGACTGTACAGCTGGCCGGTGTAACAGATTCCAAAAATACTGCATATGCGCCATGCCAGGGCCCAATCACACGGCCAGACCCCGGTATTTTCTCAAATTGCGCAGCATTGACTCCCACATTGCCAACAGCACGAGATGCAAGCATCGTTAAGCACTGTGCCCGGAACTAAAATAATGCGGTCTAGCCGTTATGGTGTGAAGTGAGACTTTTCCGTTGCGGGGGCAATTCGTCGTACGGAATAAGTCATGCAGTGGCGTTCCCCGGGCTTATCCGCTGGTTTTATCCAAATTGGCCTGTATGATCTTACTGGCGGTTACATGAGAAGAGGCATATCTTTTTCTCTGAGTATGGCGGGATATATCAGCATATAAAACAAGCAGGCGATGATATACCAGACACAGCACTCGGTACATAAATCGGATATACTGATAAAATAATAGTTCAAAGGTAATGTAACGACAGTACGGAGTATTCCGTACTCCAAAGTATGTAATAATACATAGGATGTCTCGGCGCTTCGCTCCGACGCAATAATAGAGAGTGTTTGGGTTCCATGTTGAGATGAACGTCCGGAGTAAGAACCAATCCTATTTCGCAAGTAAAGTGCACATCATCGTGGATTCGCCCTTGCACAATACGTTTTCTTGGCGAAATAAATGGCGGGCTGTTCAGGGGTAAGTGGAGATGAAAGAGACCCACGGGGGGAAGATGTTGCAATTGGGACGCCAGGAACGGGTGGTGGATCAGCGGTCTGAAACGTCAATAGAAAAGAAAAACATATCTGAAAGAGATAGAGAGTGAGCAGATGCTATTGAGTAGGATTGCCATGAAACTTGGGAGCATATATTTGATATGCTCCGTAGCCATTTTATACAGGATCCCCCAATATCTCCCATGTTCCAACGCGATCGTCATATAACGCTAGAAACATGAGCGGGTCAAAATTACAAGCCAACTTGGTAATGAGAAACAACCCCTGGCGGTCGAACCAATCATATAATTGAATAAATGAAGGCTGTGCGAGGGTCAAGTTCCGAGTACATGGCAGGTTGCGGTGTGTGTTAGTGGTGGATTAAGTACCCTGTACCAACGGTCTTTGTTCCTTTCCCCTTTTTTTAGGGCGAGTGGTCCCAAAATGGGCCAAAACAACGAGAAGCAAGTGGCTGCTGATCTTGACACTAATCTCCCCGTTCATACAAAGGCCCCCTGCCTCCCCGTGCTGTTTCTGTTTCTTTCTTCTCTCCAAGTACATTCTTCGCAAATTCACTCTCTATCGACTTCGGTCTTCCACTCTTTAAAAACCAACACTCTCTTTCAAAAGCTCCGCTTTTTATATACACCTTTTTGAACATCACTTTTTACGTTTTTCGTACATAACATTCAAAATGCGTTTCACTGCTGTCGCCGTTGCCTTCTTCGCCGGTCTGGCCATCGCTGCCCCCGGTGCTGACAAGACCGTCTACGAGACCGACGAGGTTACCATCACCTCTTGCGCTCCCACTGTTACCGACTGCCCCGGCAACAGCGGTGCCGGCGTTGAGCCCACTGCTAGCACCACCCCCACCAGCGTCCCCGCCGCTGTCACCAGCTCCGTTGGTCAGGCTTCCGAGACCCCTGCTTGGTCCTCCGTCCCCACCGGAGTTTCTCCCTCCAGCGTCTCCTCCGCCCCTGCTCCCCCTGCTGTTGAGACCGCCACTGCCTCCTCCTCCGTGATTGCCATCACCACCTGCGTGCCCACCGTTATCTACTCGACCGTCCCCGTCGTCCCTACCACCACCCCCGGTGCTAGCAGCAGCGTCATCCCCCACGGCCCCTCCGGTGGTGTCCCCCACGTGCCCTCCGGCACTAAGGGTGTTGCCACTGGCACTGCCGCTGTCACCCCTGCTACCTCCTCCCCCGCCTTCAACGGTGCTGGTGCTCTCAGCGGCTCCCTCGGCTTCGCCGGTGCCGCCGCCGCCGCCGCCTTCTTCCTGGCATAAATGACTTCTTCCGGATTGGTGATGCACTTCTGCACCTAGTTGGGTCCTCTGGGTCTAGCCCTGGCGTGGTCGTGTCAAACCGGAGGTGTTAATAAGAGTTGGTGTGAGATGAGGATTGTGTTATTTAGGGTTTCTGGTGATTTACTTTTAACAATTGTTGCTTTCTGACTGGATATACCTATCCACTTTCTGCTTTTTTTGATATACATATCTCTCTTTCTTCTTGGGCTCTCCTGGATAGCTTCGGAGTTGTGCGAAGCTCGCTTGGTGGCTTGAGCACGACCTTAATGTAAACCATGACAGCTTTTCACATTCTTCCTCTCTCCAGCGCCCGTAGCCTATTTGGAATGTATCCAGTTTACATTTTCATAATTTCATAGTTTGTTTCATATGACATTCCGTCTAAACAGTCATTTTAAAATCTCGTAGCGAAGTCCTTGACGGCATTGATCATGAAAGTAAATATTTGTGATTGGTAGATACTCCTTGAGTAATGTCTCTATCCCTGCCCCTGACTCCACGTGCCACCCCCCTGACTCCACGTGCCACCTCAAATCTTGTACTTCCTAGGGCTGAATATGCCACTTACAATCGTAAAGCCAACTAGGTGGCTGAAATTCAAAATTCAAAATTCAAAACCAACTACTTACTGTCGGTGCTGACCGCAAGTCCATACTTGAATTTGAACATTTATGAGCCCCACAATCGTAGTACTCATCCATCTAGCTTTACTGAGGAAGGAATGTAGTTATACTAGTTATATCATTGCCTTAGATGTACCTCTAGCTCAATAGCGTCGAGTTCACATAACCACGCCAGTCACGGTGCCGAACACATGTATCTTTTAATGGCGACTATTTTATCTTACTCATTAATAGTCCCTTCAATCTCCCTGGGTGTTCTTTATTGCTGTCACCGATGAGTTTGTTCTCGTCTCCCCTTCTCAACACTTGCGAGCTCGATGTCATTCATAGGGCACAGAGTATGGAGTACAATGTAAATAACTAGAATATCATATTTCTCACCACCCATATCTTATATTCTGCGGCTAATTCCTCTAACCTGCCTTCTAATCACACGAATAAGAGCGGCAACCATATTTTGAAAAATAATTGTAGAAAAACCCGAGAAAATACTTACGAAGACCACTAAAATAGATAATAGACATCACAAGGTCGTATAAGCAACTATTCTTGTACTATGTACGGAGTATAAAAGCTGTACGAAGTAAATGATTGGCAGCCAAAAATAGAGACCCCCACTATTCCTGAGCTCAGTGGCTGATTGGAAGTTGCATTGTTCATTAAGGATCGAGCAGCTTTCACCCTTGAATCATGTGTCCTTTAATGTCACCTAGACACTTCCAGTCTAGTGAACGAAAGAAGAAAATAATCAAAGCAGTGTATGAAGCGGGGCATGACACCTGCGATTATTCTCGGACTTCACATATCGTATCCGAACCCTAAATATGGGGATTTTGGAACTATGGCCTCTTCTCGATGCGATATACGGATCTCGGCAGACTTGGCCTTCGTACAGGTCCCGTTTTTGCTTTCAAAGACACACTGAAAAGCCCAAACATAGTAAGTTGAGGCCGTTGTAGTGAGAATAAATGCATAACCCCTGTGTGGATGGATACATTTGGACCCCAAATTGTATCCCGCGCACCTAATCAAATTTGTGATCATGGTGGGCTTCTCTTGATATACGTTGTTTTATCCTTGTGGGACTCCATGACCATTGTCCTGAAAAGGAGCTGTTTGTTTTCGCTTTTGGGTAATTGATTTTCAGTGATGACTTCAATGGGCAGGTATAGAACAATGAAATATCAGTGGGTTTTTTTTTAGCTTAAGAGTATTACCACCTAACTGCCTGTGAGTCCTTTGATTTTCTCCTTTGTGTGTACTATGTACTCGGTACCTAATATAATATGTGTTATATTCCCTTCTCTGTGGAAGAGGGGTTGACCTTTTGGACTTATCCGCGCTAGGAAGGAGGCTTGCATGCTAAGTTCTGTTATATTCTGTCTTTGGATACGAGCCCTCCACGGTCCACTATCGAAGTCTCCTGGAGCACAGCTCGTGTCTAAAGATAGCATACCAAGCCATACGATATATGATCTACTTGCCAAAATCCCCATCGAGTATCGCACCGCACAATGGTTTTCTGTCCATCTCAGCGACGAGCTTCCGAGCCTCCCAAACCACCCTCCGACCTCAACTCTCCCCTCATGGATCTCTCATCCCTCGAAGGCGCGCCGATGGTTAATCCAAAATTCATTGTTCCGCCAGATACAACTCCTCATATCCATACAGACTCGCGTTCCATTCAATATTTGCTCTCAAAACCTTTGCCCGCGAGGCCTGCTTCAACGGACCCTATTTCGCCAAGACAGCAAAGTAACGGACTGCATGACTGGCCACCCAATCGCTCTACAATCGGTGGCAATCTAAGGCGGGCTTCGGCCCGTAGACGTACGCGCGATCTATCGAACCAGCTGTCTCCCAACCGTGATCCGCAATATGATGTGCGCCCACGTATACAACACACTCCGCATCCTCCTACGCGTCCAAGGAGCTGTGTGCCCCTCACTTGGCTCGAAGATGAAAAGAAATGGATTGTTGGAGAGATATATATGCCCCCGACGCATGAAACTCGGACTCAGGATGATATAGCGTCTACTCGATCGGCAGTCTCACCAATTTCGCCCATTTCACCGATCACACCGTGGCAGGATGTCTTTCAGCATCTTGACGAGCATATCGATTACAATAATCGCCTTTGTCAAGAGAATCTGCTGAGCCCGCCCCCGCCCTATGGTAGACACAGCTTTGGTCGAACAAATGAGACATATTTAGATGACAGGGTTTCCAGCTGGGTTGCAGCTACTCGAAGAATACATGAGGATCGGCAGAATGGAGCGTGATTAAGTGTGATATTGAATTGCTTGATTGGCGTTATAGCTTTTCTGATATGTCATGGGGTATATATTGGTTCGGGGCTCACACATCTATGAATAGAAGCTAGAGAGATAAGCATTGAGCGAAGCAGTTTTGGCTTCCCTCTGAAACAGTTCTCTGTAGAAGAGCCTGAAAACTGTTATAGAAAAAGGGGTGATAACATTCCTCAGGTTTGATCTCAGACTGTCTGACTCTTGGGTTGGCTAATTTCTCCCAATGGTTTAGGGGGTCTCATTATTTCAAATTATCAAGCTGTATTCCACATATTTAGCCTTACGAATTTGTATTTTTATCTCTTGCCACCTCCGAGAGTATAAAAGGCCCCTCGAGAGAAAAAAAAAAAGAAAACTCCTACCATGCCCCCGGCTTTTTGTTCAAGATGAAGGCATCCAACTCATCTTGACTCGACACGAATAATTTTTCCTTCTTCTGTCACAAGATAACGAAATAGAAGGTCAGTGTGTCGGAGCTCCACCCCGTGGTCCTATACATCGAACGTTGGGTTCGCCCTTTTTGCCCACTACTATATGCATGCCGAGGGGATCTATGATAGTGGATACAAAGGGAAATAGAGGACAAAATACGGAAACCAAGTGTACAAACCTCGTTCAAAGACGGGAAAAGGCTATTATGACAATAAAGAGGCTTTGCTTCCCCCCAAAGTCTGGATTTCATTGTACCTGGATGTTCACTATATAAGAGACCTTCTCTCAGGCTCGTTAGACAGAAAAGCATCTATACCTAAGTCTCATTCAATCCACCAACCTCCTAAACGATCTCAATAAACATGGGTCAGGACAGTGTATTTATCGTACCCTCTGAGTATTTAGACGATTTGGAGGGGTTTGAGGATACAGGCTGGATCCGCCCTCAGCTCTTAGAGGATCCAGACAACGACAAAGCTCACTGGAACACCGTGATTATTCCCCGAGAGATGGAAGTTAACCATAGCGACGAAGATATCATGCAGTATATGCTCCAGAACGTCCGAACCCAGCGAGCCATCGTGAGCGCATCGGCAATGCATAACCTAGGAATGATCTGTATCTCACTCCCGGTCCCTGTTAGCACTGCTAGCACGGCTATAATCTTGGCTCGTGCCGAGGCCGATGTGTACAAGTGGCTCAAATTCATTCGTGCTGGGATCGTTACTCTTGACCGGAAGGTAATTTTTGGTCGGCAATCCTGGGCTATCGAGCGGTAGCACCATAGAGAGATTAGGTATATTATCGATAGGGAGATGGCCAAGTGAGAAATTGTTACGGTAGAATCTGATAATTGTGTCAAATATAAAGTGTTTTTCAAGTCTAGCCGTTGACTAGGTCGCGTGTTATTGGTCCCTCTTAATATTGGCTTTTAGAAATGCGCTATCGGCGGAACAGGGGTTATGGCCCATTTCCACTACCCATTTCCACTACATACATGTAGGCAATATCAAATCCAATAAGAAAGCCTTCAATATTGGCTAATGTGATGTAGATCTTTTATAAAGCAGTAAGAATGAAATAATTACACGGAGGAATTCCGTGAGCTGGATGGCAATGTCAGTGTGTTAGCTCTAAGGGCATAGACATGTCGATGGAATAGCCCTGGAATTATCAAAGGAATCTGTCATTCTGCTGTTACTTAGGTATACTTCTCTCACTCTCTACCCATTTGACATTACCTTATGGCTCTTTTCAAGTTTGTTTAGTCCACTAGGCCTTATCCTTATATCACTTATTCTCAATTTGCCTCGCTCTATTCCTATATTTCAACTTCTTTTTGGTAAATTAGACTTATGTGGTGACACTGTAAAACAGATGTTCACCTATGTGTCGCCCACAAGAGACACTTACTTGTATATCAGACGAGTCCTAATGGAGCCAAAACTCACTCGATATAAGTATACCCCCGCACGGGAGAGCCGAGATGTAGCTACATTGGCCCAGACAAGATTAATATGAGTAATAGTGTGAGTAATATAGAGTCCGATGCAGGGGATCCCCTCTCTGAGACGCCAGTCACAGCATTGCTGTATGTCTGTCACCCGTCAGCAGAGGAAACTAGCAAACTGCATGTTGGATCCACTGCTCCACCTCGAGTTATCGACAGCCTCGCTAGCCACCCCTGCAGGATCCGTTGAGGGGGCAATAGGATTGAAGGACGAAAATAAGAAGATGGAAGATTCTCGAATCACTTCGACTTGTTCCCCCCCTCGCGGCTGGGTATCCTCCCGGTCGAGGAATGAGTGACTCCATTGCTCCAATTCTTTTGCGCGCTAACACAGACCAGCAGCTCACCAGCCTCTGGATTATTTGCTGGTAGTAAAGATGGGACATATGATAGAATAGAAAAAAAAATTATATTATAAGAGGACATGTCCGACGAATTTCTCGGTCTAGCTTTCACCCATTAAACATTCAAGGCTATTAAACCGGCTATCGAACCCAGGTCCGCACTTTTTTTCCTTTTCTGAGATTAATATGACAGCTTAAAAAGTGAAACAAGGCATGGCTCAGACTTGAATTGAAAATCTTCAAAGTTGAGGTTGCAAAAGTCCTCACAGTTGATATTCCCACCCCATCCGTGGTTCATACCTGGGAATCTCCCCGATTCTACCGCCTTCGATTAGAAAAAAAAAAAACCCCTCCCCACCCCCAATGGTCCAACTCGCCCACATCTTCAAAAAGGATAAGGATAAGGAGAAGACTGAGAAGAACCCTGATATACGTTCATCCCGATCTTCCTTCTCCCGCACATCTCCGAATTCGCCCTCCAAATCCCCAACTAAGTCTACCAAATCTTCGAAATCCTCTTCCCCCACCAAATCTACCAAACCCTCCAAGTCTTCCAAACAATCCTATTTTTCTCACAGTCGGTCATCCTCCAATTCCGGACCGACCGCCAATTTCAAGTTTGCCCGATCTTCGCGTGACCAGGACGTACACCCACTCAATCTCCCACCCGACGAGCTACGTCGTCGACTCTCCGCTATGGCAGCATCCAACGAAGAGCAGCGGAGTCCAATGGATATCGATTCTCAGGAACCTCAGAATAATGGTGTGAATGGCACTGAGGAGCGCAGTCCGACTCCGCCACCGCACCAGCCGAACTCAGCTTCTGCCGACGAGGCCGATTCCTTCAAGCTGGCCGGAAACAAGTTCTTCAAGGATGGCAACTATCGACGAGCGATCGAAGAATACACTAAGGGTATGCATTTTCTTATCTTACAGGGACGCCGTGTCTCATAAATTAGTTTTGAATGAGCGGGGTCGCTGATGATTTTTGTCTACTGCAGCCATCGAGATCAATCCTAACTCATCGGCCTATCTCTCTAACCGAGCGGCGGCCTACATGTCCGCTAAGCAATTCGTGAATGCGCTTGAAGATGTTCAGCGCGCCAACGAGCTCGATCCTAACAACCCAAAGATCATGCACCGATGGGCTAAGATTCTGACGAGCTTGGGTCGGCCTGCAGAGGCCCTAGAGGTGCTGTCACGTATCCAGCCACCAGTGGCTGCCACCGACCGGGTGGCCGCAGAGAAGATGCTGCGCTTCGTTACACAAGCCGAAGAGACAATAGCGGAAGATCGCGGTGTGTCGATGGTTATCTATTGTCTAGACCAGGCTCGACAAGGGCTTGGACAAGGTGTCAAGGAGCCCCGAAAGTGGACACTTTTGGCCGCCGAGGCCCACCTGAAGCTGGGCAATGTCAACTCACTGGGCAAAGCGCAGGATATTGCAATTTCCTTGCTGCGCGAAAACAGCCAAGACCCAGATGCGATGATGATCCGTGCCCGCGCCTTCTATGCCCTCGGTGAGACCGAGCAGGCGCAGAAGCTTCTGAAGCTTTGCCTCGGGCTGGACCCAGACATGAAGCAGGCCATCAAGCTGCTGCGTATTGTGCAGAAGCTGGCTCGCACAAAGGAGGAAGGAAACACTGCTTTCAAGGCCAAGGATTATCACCGTGCTATCGATCTTTGGTCCCAGGCTCTCGAGGTCGACCCCTCCAACAAGGATATGAATGCTAAGATCCTGGGTAACCGTGCTCAGGCTTACATCAACTTGAAGGAGTTTGACTCCGCCATTCAGGACTGCACTGAAGCTCTCCGTCTCGACCCCGGCTATGTCAAGGCTATGAAGTGCCGTGCCAAGGCCAACGGCAAGGCCGGTAACTGGGAGGACGCTGTCCGTGACTATAAGAGCGTTGCTGAGAACAACCCTGGCGAGAGCGGAATTGCGGAGGAGATCCGCGAAGCTGAATTCGAGCTGAAGAAGTCCCAACGCAAGGACTACTATAAGATTTTGGGAGTCGACAAGGATGCCAGCGATCAGGAAATCAAGAAGGCCTACCGCAAGCTGGCTATTTTATACCACCCAGATAAGAACCGCGACGGCGCAGCGGGCGATGAGAAGTTCAAGGAAATTGGTGAAGCGTACGAGAACTTGATTGATCCTCAGTAAGTCTGCCACAACATTTAACCCTATTCGAACAAGGCTAATATAGTTTCAGGAAACGTGCTGCCTTTGATAACGGAGACGATCTGAGGGACCCAGCTGATATGTTTGGCGGCGGCGGCTTCCCCGGTGGTGGCTTCCACAGCGGCGGTTTCCATGGCGGTGGCGGCTTCCCCGGCGGTGGTGGTTTCGGCGGCGGTGGTGGTTTCGGCGGCGGTGGTGGTTTCGGCGGCGGCGGCTTCGGCGGCGGTGTCCAAATCGATCCCGAAATGCTTAAAAACATGATGAATGGCGGCGGCGGCTTCGGTGGTTTCTAGATGAAGCCATCTAACCTGTTATATTCACTCGATACCACCGATTCTTTCTTCTTTCGTTCCAATATGACGAACCCCAAAAACAGGAGTTCGCATGTGTTCCACCGGAGTTGGAGTTGCACCTCGATATCTTAGACATTGATCTGTTGGATATTGGGGATTTGCTTTTTTGCCAACTGCCATATCACGATTTTTTTCACCGTGTTTCTACGGAGACGCCATATGATTCCCGATATGATAGATTTGATGTTTTTTTCCCTTCCCCTTTTGCATCTTTTCCCATTATGGCCCCTTTCGGAGAATTTGTACACAAAGTGCTGCAATCTGGATTGAATATACGAGAACAGTGCATTTATGGACAATGGGGTTTGAAATCCATGTGCACAGAAGAACTACAAGATCTACATCCGATTAATCATTCTCGGCGTTTGTCTATTGTTTTATTCTTCTCGTGGGTTTCGCTCTTGACTTTGACCTAGAGATTTGCTTTACATCCATAGATGTTTTGGCTGTCAATGCACCTTATGAGGTTGCCACTCTTGTTTCCATATAGCCAAGTAAAAGCATATGCGGCGTATACGCCTGCATGACACCCATAAAGCGAAGAGTTCTCTCAGATATGATTTATTTTCCTTCACTCCGTAGCTATGCGACGAAGTATATCTCACATAGGTAATGTAATCCGTCCATGCTTCCAAATTATGACCAAATTGAGAAACGATTAAGGCTATCATACAGAATTATCTGTTGCTCTTCACAAACATAGCAGCCGACGAAACGGCATTCGCTTGGAGGCGGATAAGCTTTTAGGGTTGTCATCTTTAGCCGACCTGACACACCTGTGTACGTACGATGGGACATCTGATCTGGGTCTCCTTCAGCTAGGACTCACTGGGGGGCTACTAGGCGGGTATGCTGTATATGTTAGGTTGTGATAAGTGGAATGGGTCTATGAAGTACATATAGTACCTTGAGAGTCAACTTCAAGTCAAAGAGAGGGTAGGAAGAGCTTGGGTTTGAACTATCTTTTATAGGATGGATTGCGCTGGTATCGAATATACCGTCTCTGCTCTATTCATCTACCGCTATGAAGTGGATGGAATAACACAGCTCTCATTGCGCGTCTTTCTTATAGAAGGGTCGGTCACGCTATGTATTCATAATAACAATATAAGCAATCATATGTTCTGTGGTATGTACTTCTCCTCAACATGCTGAACAACTGTACTAGTAAATATAAAACAAATAAATCAGGGGAATCTCAAAAAAAGGGGTGACCAAGACAAGAATAGTGAATGAATATACCGGACAGATGAGCATAAAGCAAACTCCGCCGCTGATGAGTGATGACATTCAAGTCGGATCGAACACAAAAAGGGGCATATAGAGGGAAATGGTAATATAAAGAAGATGCAAGAAAAAAAAAGAAGAACGCTGGCATAACAAGTCT